CAGAAAAATCAGACGTGTCGTAAACAAAAAAGGTCAACCTGGGGCAATTTTCAATTCAATTCGATTTCGTTATATTTTCTTCTTGATAAAATAAAAAAAATTCGCCCAATTGAATATTCATACGAGACTGAGTGCTAGAGTACAGTGATTAGAACAACAGAATACATAGAAGCTCAAAGTTACTCGTAAAATAAGCAGTCATCATTACGTCTCTGTTTTGTTCTTATATAGTGGCATTCGCGTATCGGTTATTTTATTTACGTGTTGTTGTTTTTTTTTTTTCGTGTGTGAATTAGATTTGATTGCGCTCACTCAATGACTCGTCCCGTCACATATTGCTTCTCAAAAAGTTAATTCTGCATATAAATGTTTCAATTGTTTTAAGTGACACTTGAGTATCGCGCGCACTCTGAACACGAAAAAGAGTGACAAGACAGAGAGAGTCGAACAAAATGAACAAATAAATATACTGTACAAAATGAAACCCATTGAATTGATAAGAATAAATTGAAAAGAGGACCCGAGAAAAGTTCATACGTTACACAGAAGACGAAAGTATAAAAAAAGAAGTATATACTCACAACCAATTCCCATGCGATCGAATGAGGCGAATAGTTTTTTTTTTTACCTATTCACATGAATATGCCCTTATCTTATTTCCATATTGTTTGTAGAAAATATACATTGGCTTTTTATCATTTAATGTATAACGAGCGAGCGAGTGTGAAAGAGAGAGAGAGAGATACACAAAACGTGAATAAAGGTGCACATTTGTTAATAAAAAATAAACGATATTGGGAGAAGCGCAACGAGCGCGAACACCCATACATCAACGCAAGGGAAATGAAAATGAAGACGATTGCAAAATTTACCGAGTGCGAAAAAGATGACAAAACGCTTTTCGAGAAGCGCTTAAATAGCAATAGGTATAAAAACAATGTGTCGAACCGAACCAGAACAACAAAAAAAAAGACAACCAACAACACAACACCAATAAAATATATGTGAGAATGTTAATTTTATGCAAAATCTACAGGAAATTATGTGATTAAAAACAGAAAATGAGTGCGTACGTGATACGGAGCTGACTTGAGACAACAAAAACAATACGATCCGCGCATTCGAACAGAGCAAGAAATAAATAACAATAAAATAAAGCACGTCAAAAGAAAAGTAAAACGCTCCGAATAAAATATATTGACTTTGATGACACCAAAATTCTATCTTCTTTGTTTGTTTTACCTACTCGCCTTTTTTTATCCGAAAAAATATATATAAAAAAGAGCGCAAGGCATTGTTTTTCCCTGTGATTGTGTATCATTGGGACTATTATAAGTTAGCTCGACAAAAAAAAAATGGGCAGATGAAAATCGATTGTCACGAAAACTGCAAAATAACACAACAGCAACACAAAAAAGAGAAAGAAAGAAGAAAAAAAGTAAATGCGGTTGCTTGCACGTGTGTGGTTATTGCGCCACAGAAGAAAAAAACACGATTTAAACACCGCCGCACTCACCTCATAATCTTTCGTTTTATTTCTCTGCCGTTTGTTTTTGTTTTATTTGACAACTGAATATTACTTTTTTTATCTGTTTATGGGGCAATTTTATTTGGTTTTCGGTTGCAATTCAACATTGAAACTTATGTATCCGTTTTGATAGCACAATTCCTTCCGTTTTGGCTTGGTTCTCAGACATTAAAGAGAATGAAGTTAAGGGTGTGAGATACAGTAAACGATAAAACCGTATAGGAAAGAAATATTTGATCAAAATCATAAACAATTTCACTTTCTTTCTCTCCTTTCTTTATAGATTTGAAACCAATTCGGATTTCCGTTGACAATCCAATTTTAGGCTACTCTCTTTTCATCGTATCCTTTAACCATCGTTTGTACATTTCCCCAAGATTAGATTGTTCGATAACCCCGATCGTGTGTGTGTGTATATACGATTGAAATCGATATATTGGATTTAATTTTTTTTAATTTTTACGTTGACCTTAACTGATCTGTCGGTAACACACGCTCAAACCGTTGAAAAACAAAAGATTTTAATAAATACCGATTCCACTTAATATGCATTTGTATATAGATGGAAGTGACGAGTGTGTCATGGTTTGCTCGTCGAATCGATCGAATGTCGAATGTTTGAGAGTGTATGAGTATGATTCGATTGCATATTAAATTGACATTAAGCTAAAGAGTTTTGCATATAAAATATAATCACACGTTGCATTTAATTAATATTGAATGTGCTATCGGTGTCGATTCGTTTCCATTTAAATAAGTTTCGTTTCAAATGAATGCACATTTTTGTCATCGCTTTTTCTGGTTTCTTCTTTAAGACTTAATTCATGACGTACGCTCTATTTTCGCCTCATCTTTGTAATACACAATTTCTTGGGCCAACTTTTCGAAAACAGTGTTTGAATTTTAAATCGAAATCAGCTTGACGAAATTTAAAGAGTGAATTCATTGAAAGTCTAATAAATGGGTTTTTAAAGAGACTGCACGATTGTAATGCAAGATATTTAGTGCTGTACAGCGAAAATCTTTTCATATGAAACATTCGTTATCCTTTTATCTATTTCTACAGAGCTCAATGTCCGAAAAGAAATGTGGACGTGATCACTGGTCAATTTTTTAAAAAGTAATATAAATTTGTTCGTCTTGTGTAATATTCAAAAATACATGCAATAAAACTGTATCAGCTCGGGCCGAAAAAAAACATGATATAAGTAGAATAAAAAACCGTTGTTTTGATGAGATGACCCTTGGTCATTCAAAAAGAAATCAAATGCAAGATTATTGTAAGATGTGAAGACCCGTGTGCAGGTAAAATTAAATCAGAGCACACAAAAGTGAATAGGTTACCATTTATGCACTTACCCTTCAATTCGGCGCTCACAATTCAATGCGTATATAAAAAAGCAAAAAGGGATGGGTTCGTCTCGACTTCGGCACAGTTCGGTTCGGTTAAGTGCAGGTATAAATTTGTATCACAAACAAAATGTACATGCCGGACAAGTCACCCGATGAGAGAGAGATGAAAGAAGGCAGGCCAAAATAAATGACCATTGAATGCGGTGCGCTTATGAGGAGAGAGTAGTACGCGCATCGTTGTAACCTTAAAGGTCAAAGGACTTACTATTGTGATTAGCCTTCATATTAAAATCTCTTTCGTACTCTACTTCCAAATGGTCGATGTGATCTACTGTTACATGCATAAAATGATGGGAATGGACTTACTTGCTAAGGGGTGAGTGCGTATTTTCGACAAGTCTAATTGGAATTGACCTGCGTTTACTTTCGGAAGGCATAGTAAAACGACAATGTAGCTCATCTTTTCGGATGTTGTAAGATATTATTGCCTGCGCGACGATTAAATGCAAATAGTGAAAAGAAACCATCAACAAAAAGGTAATCATCGAGGCTAGGTAAAAATGTTGCATTTGAATATATAACACACATTTGCATTACGCGCCTACCTGCTATACTTTTGATTAAAGTTTTTGTTCGTCTTCGTTGTTTCTTTCATTGTTAGCGGTCAAGAAATGTTTTCATCGAAGACTATACGAAAGGACATTGGCATAATATTTAGAGAAAACAATGTTTTTTACATTTGCCTGCGTCGTGTGAATAATGAATACGGTTTCGTTCGGACATTAAAAAGAGACAGAAAAAAACATCAAACCCAAACTGACCAAGAGAAATCATAATTGAAAAGATGATACACACGATATTGGGCGAAGGAAAAACGAGAAAGAAGAGCGAACGAATGGACAATTGGACCTTTTTGCATGCGAGCCTTTTTTTCTCTCTCCAAACAAACGTCGGTCAGCGTATATTCTAATTTCGACTCTTTTAAAAAATGAATTAAACCGAAATCAATATATTATAAAGTAGAGCAGTCCAAACTGTTTACTCGACGAATAATTCTTTTGTAATCCATGTGTGGAAAAGAAAGGAAAGAAAAAGGTACTATGCTACATTGCTGGACATTGGTCACATTCGTCTTTTTCGCCGTTTGGAAATCTTTTAACGGTCATCTTACAATGAAAATGCGCGCTCATACACATAAATCGGGCAGATGCTTTTGTTTCTACGCGACAAACTTACGGACAATGTTGTACTATACTTCAAATAGTTGATGAAAGGTAATCACGACTGAAAAGAGAGTAGCTATGTTATATTTACTACAAAAGACAGAGAAAATTCGTTATTTTTCCACAGCGCGCCAAATACATTGAATCACATTTGATCACATAAATAGATGGCCAAGACCAAAGAAATGTGTATCACAATCGACGACAACACACATCAGAGAAAGGTTGAACTAGTTTTAATTCTTTCACCGCTGACCAATCGCAGTCCAGCTTTTCGTAAAAACTTGATTTTTATTCGTTAGATCTGCGCATATATGTAATTGCTACATTTTGGTATGGGCTGTTTCGTTTCTCTTCTTTTTATGATAAAACCGGCCAATTCTATTTGCTCCAGTTTTCCATTTCTTCGATTCTTCTATACCAAATTGATTTTGGCATTTAACGGAAAATGCTCAACAAAAAATCTTGCTTTAATCATATTCTATTTAAACAGTGTTTACTCCTAGGTTTCAAGACGTACGAAATTGCTTGCTAAATTGTACACTGACTGCAATCGTCTTGATACATAAAAAAATATGTCAGTTAATGTATATATTTTTGCTGAATTTGTCTTTATTTAAAAAAAAAAAGTAGCATTTTTTATTTCATCATTCAAATATTCAACATTTCACTTAAGCGAAAAATACTTAGATTCGATACATCCAATGATAACGAGCGGTTAATCTACAATACGCTGAATAAGCGAAAAAAAAATGTGTGACACATGAAATTATTAGGAAATCCATGTAAATTGTATAATTTAAGCAAATTTAAGATTATTGAGTACAAACAAATGGCTATTTTCATTGTTTTACGAAAAGCTTCATTCATAGAATGCGTGATAAAATGATGTACTTGATGTAGGTAAAAATTTCAATTGATGCTCAGCATTAGGATTATGTGATTTGATATTATCGAAAAACTCGAATGTATTGCGTTTATTGCTTAAAGTGATTCTGTAAATTACAACGTTAGCTGTGGCGGTCTTGAGTTACTTTTAAGTCTATAAAACATTTAAAAAGAAAAATTAAAAGTATATTCGGCATGTGATTGACAAACATTTGAGTTAATATTATTTATTGGTCCTCGGTAAACTCCAGCAAAGAGAACTTCTTTGGATTTTTTATCGTGAATAAGGAACATGAATGGCCGATTGCAGATAAAAAAATTTTCAATCCGCATCACTTTAAGTCCATAGATAGATGATGCTGCTGCAGCCACAGTCCCCCCTTCATCGATATCGATATTAGCTTGATGGATTGCATCACTTTTACCAATAAGTACTTCTAGGCCAATATGTGTGAATACCTAGAAGAGAATCACAAAAGAAAAGAATGAATAAATAAAAAAGAATAAGTGTGGTTATGATTAATGGAAAAGTGTGTGTACACTGTACACACTGTGAATACCTTCGAAAACCAAAATTTAGATTAAAGACACAATTTACTCATTTTTTTCATGTAAAAATCAACCATCATGACTGAGAGATGTCATATTGTAGAATCGCCATCTGATGACGTGTGCGTATTGTGGTTGAAAACAACCGATATGTAAATTTAGTCAAGACCACACATGCGCACGGTTTTTTGATCAGGGGGTGTCAAATTGACTTTGGTCTCGAGGGGGGAGGGCGGTATTTATATGGATAACTAAAATACAAATTTTGCATGAGAGAAACAAGTAAAAATGTGTGTTGGCGAGCGAAGCAAGCCGAAATTTTGCAAGTTTGACTTCAAAATCAGTGTATTTTTGCTATTGTTTTTACATTTATATTGCAAATCTGAGAAAAAAATTCTCAGAGGGGGGTCAAACCGGTAAATCTCCTAAAAATTTACCTGGGGGTAAATTTTGAGAAATTTGCCTCAGGTGGGGGTCAAACCGGAAAACCCCTTCCAGCGCGCATGTGTGGTCAAGACACCATCCAACAATTCCGTCTTTGTAATTACATACATTGAAAACCACGTCAACAGATGGCGCATTATTGTGCGTCTTTTTTCTCGCCCATATTAATATACAGAGACTCATGGTGGTTGGTAAAAATATTGGTGTTTCACACTTACCGGCATAAGTTTAATTTTTTGTTTGAGTGCAATTTTTGGGAGTTCAATGTAAACCCACCTCGTGTTATGCTGTGATTCACCGTCGACAAATACTTGATCTAGCATTTCAGATGTTACATTCTCCAAGAACTCATCAATAGCATTGGGTAAGAAAAAGTACATAGAAACAGAATTATTCTCTCCTGAGTAAGGAATTTCCACGAATTGTGTATTAAGTTCATGGATGACACCTGTAATTTGAAACAAAAACTATTTATAAGCCGATCTACTGCTTTTACTTATGCATAGAATTTGTGATTGATATGAGATACCATACCGTAGTTGAAAAATCCTATTTGTTCCATCATCTCAACATAAACTGGCGTATGAATGTTCTTGTAAAAAAAATTCTTTTTTGTAGCTTCTTTTTTGAATGGCGAGGCCCAGTCACCTTTGAAGAAAGCTGCATTGACCAGAACAGAAATTGTATCATGGGTTATGTATTCGGGTGGCAATAAATCTTTGATGATGCCTTTTGTTGTCTCTTCCACAAATTTATTGATGTGGCAACGGGCCTCTTCTGGTTTAGATTCAAAGTTTAATACTTCAATACTGTCGATTAACATTTCCTTTAGAGTATCACTGCAATTGTTAAAATATTATAAATATTGCTGAATTATGAAAAAAATTCTAACGGCATATATAGATTTAAGTCACTGAATTTCATTTCGATTCGGAAACAATCGCTATAAAAACTTACTTTAGTTTGACTTGATTTGAAAAGTACAATTTATCAACCGAATTGAATTCTACAGTTTGGTTTTCACGACAATTGGCTCGTGCTAATTTTTCCAATTTATACGCATGGCTAACATCGGCTTTGCTTTTGGCCCAATCCAATTGTAAGGTTTTCTTTAATAATTTCTCTACATCGCCTTCAGCTATTAAATATTTCAATAGCAAGGCTCGAAAGATGCTGTGTGGTGAAAAAAATAAGGTTTCGTTTGGTTGGACCTTTTGAAAAGCACGGAGGAGGCCGACACAAAATTTTCTCTGTCCATAATATAATTTGTCGACTGAAATTGGGGCTGTTTCACTTCTCGTGAAATACGGTAACCAAAAAAATACCACCAATACAGAAATTATAATTGCTTTATTCATGTTGCTTTATAAAATAGGAAAAAATCAATGAATTATTGTTGATTAATTATGTGGCAATGATTAAAATAGAATAGTAAACTCACTGTAAATATAATACTGTATGAGCGAATTCGTTTTTTTTCTTTAGTTAATGTTGATATTCAAACAGACAAAATGCAACTGAATGCCAAATACGAATTCTTACTTCTAGTTCATCTCGTCCAGGTAAATTCGTTAGCCGAAAACAAAATGCATCGTTTGGATTCAGGTAGAATTCTAGGTATGACGCTTGCAAATATGTACCTAATTTCTGCAGAGTCTATGTTTTACTGAGAAATGTATTTGTATGACTAACTTTGCAAAATGTGAGTCTCATCTTTTACTTTCTTCAAATTTAAAAACAAAGCCAATCGTTTGAAGAGAATGTTGACTTCCAAAGACTTATTTCGGTATAATAAAAGTACCTTTTGGATAAATCCATAAAGTATTTTCAAGAAATGCTTCACAAACTTAGGTCTTTTCTATTAAAATTTCAGTTAAATATAAGAATGTTAATATTTTAAAATACTGCTGGCATTACTGGTAGCTCGTCTGCTTCTATTATTATTCACATTTTAGTCACGACTGAAAAGAGAGTACCTATATAATATTTACTACAAAAGACAGAGAAAATTCGTTATTTTTCCACAGCGCGCCAAATACATTGAATCACATTTAATCACATAAATAGATGGCCAAGACCAAAGAAATGTGTATCACAATCGACGACAACACACATCAGAGAAAGGTTGAACTAGTTTTAATTCTTTCGCCGCTGACCAATCGCAGTCCAGCTTTTCGTGAAAACTTGATTTTTATTCGTTAGATCTGCGCATATATGTAATTGCAACATTTTGGTATGGGCTGTTTTGTTTCTCTTTTTTTATGATAAACACGGCCAATTTCATTTGCTCCAGTTTTCCATTTCTTCGTTTCTTCTATACCAAATTGATTTTGGCATTCAACGGAAAATGCTCAACAAAAAATCTTGCTTTAATCATATTCCATTTGAAGCTGAGTGAGATAAACAAGTTAAAATAGACTAGAAAGATTGTGAACAATGTGTAAAAACGACTTTACGATTTGGAGCGAAACAACTTTTAGATTTTGGCATATGCATAGATATACAGAAGACTTGCATGGATTTTAAAGACATTGATAAACTATGTCAATTTATATGATCATCTTCAACGGTTACTTGGTATCCCAGAGATGAAGACGACCATTGATGCACTCCTATATATTTCAACCATTATTATATCACGTTAAGGACAAATGTATATCAGTAATAGGCTATCAGTTGTGTTCTCAGCAGTGACTGGTAGATAATGGAAGCTGATAAAATACGTTATCTCCACAAAGGGGTTTTTATTTATCTTGTATCATTCAATGATGTCTAAAATCGTAACTGTCGGATAAAGTATTTTTTAGAAATGCTTGACAAACTTGGCTCTTTTCTATTAAAATGTCAGTTAAATATAAGAATTTTAATATTTTAAAATATTGCCGGCATTACTGGTAGCTCGTCTGCTTCGAATAGCCATCCCAAAAACATTATTATTGACATTTCAGTTAACAAAACAAAATGTGAACAAAGAAAGACTCCATGGAGTTGGTAATTTTACATTATTTGTACACCATACCATATGCATCAATGTCAGTTTTGTTTCAAAAACTCAGGTAATTTTTATTATCAAAGTTTTTATCGTTCTTCCTCAGCATTTTTACAATCTATTAGTAAATTTTTTATCACTTAAGAATTGTTTTAAATAGAAGTTGATAGAACTTCGTATATCATTTCCTTTAGTTTTCTATATATCAAATGGAGATAAAACAATTAGTCAAGCAACTAGTTATATTCAAAGTAAATTGATGAATCAGCCTTGGATACAGGGCATCGACAACAATTAAACGGATTGAATTTTTAAAAAGTAATAAATTGCAAACTTGCAATATTCCTCAAAAAAGTGCAAATGATTTTTCTTTTTGAATCAAAAACATGATAATTTTGATTAAATTAAATTCATTCTAGGTAAGCAGTGGAAGGTATTTATGGTGTTGAGAGTATTGCGTGTTTCGATGCCGTAAATTTTTCAATTATATCCCCAGTCTAAAGAATATAGATTGAATTCGTTATGTAGAAACAAACTTACCAAGAGATTGTCGTTGTTATTATTCCGAAAAGCGAAACAAAGTGTATAAACAGCCATAAGTCACCATGGCGATACGCTAAACTGAGTAAGGAAAATATATCAATGAAAGAAAAATAATAATAATCCAAATTGTTGTGGTTGTTGTTGTTTTTGTATTTGTTGATTTTTCTATTCCCTAGGCTTTTTGCATACATGAATTATAAACAGAAAATTTAGATCATTATTTTATTTCGGACTTTTTTATTAAGGGGAGTTTTGGATACTTCATATGATTTGAGAAGTGCTTTTGTTTCTTTAAGTTTTCGCATCAGTAGCTCATTTTTTTTTCGTTCCAAATTCAACTCATAGCACAGCTGCCGTTTGGTTTTTGTTTCTGATGGATTCAATACAGGATGATTAAGTATTTCAGCTGCCGTTGGTCTTTGGTTTGGATCTGGATGTGTCATTACCTGTTAAACGATACAAGTTGAATTTTAGCATAATTTTATTCATTTTATTTGTAGAGGAATTGTTCTGTTGATTGATACCAACCTTAATAAATTTGTTGAGCTCTCTGCTAACATTTGGCAAATCAGGTACACGACCTTCTCGCAAATCATGCCAAATCGGTCCATTTTTCGGTAATGGGCCACCACCTCCAGCTTCGTATAATGTCAGTCCCAACGCAAAAATGTCAGCTTTTTCGAGCTGTGAATAGTCTTCCCGGAGAATTTCTTTTGGTAGGTATCGACAATCGCCTTCTTCAACTTGTGGTTTTCGAATCGATGTTACATGACCCAAATCACCAATTTTATATGTTACTTCCATTTCTAATTCTTCATAAATATCCTCGAATCCATCATCGTTACTATCTGTGGTGGAATTATTGGCGATGGCATTGCTGCTCGTTGGATTCGATGCATGGGCACGAATTTCGGCTTTTGTTAAGAAAATATTTCCACATTTTAAATCCATGTGTACGAGATCATTCGAGTGTATGTATTTCAAGCCGTCAGCCACATGTGCCAACAGTGTACGTAATTCGGAATCAACCAATGATCGATGTTTGAGCAAGGCTTGCAAGCTGCCTCCGTTGCAATATTCATTTTGTATTATCATATGCATATTTTCCGACCATGCCGAATAATACCGAACAACGTTATCATGTTTACCTAACACCGCATGTGCGTACACTTCATTCAATGCACTTTTTCTATTATGAAAATAAACAGAAAATGGTAATTTAGAAAGTGAATATAATTGATGAAATATATATTGTTTGATATTGGGACTTACTCAAAAGCACTACCAGCAACTGGTTTTATGCTCTTTTTAATGGCATAATTAACGCCATCCAATCGATTTAAACATTTGTATACAACACCAAATTCACCTTCACCTAAAATAGTCAAAAATATATATTCAAATTAGCGTGGATACAAAACGGAGCCTCTTTCAATGAACTTACCAATTAATTTCAATTCAATAAATTCCTTTTCGTAGCGCGGCAAATTTGACTCCTGCAAGGCCAATCGCTTGGGTGCTTGCCATTCGTCGTCGGTTGTATTACCGCCTGATACATCTTCTTCTATTGAACTAATTGATAAATTTGATTTGCTAACTAGAGATTCGGTACTATTTCGAGTGGATCGGCATTGATCCTCGGTTCGAGATCGTTTTTTCTTTTGACTGAAACCTACAAAATCAAAATCATAAGAAAAATTACATTTAAAATGGGCCATGATGACTTGGCTATAGCGTAACATACTTGAGGGTGAAAATGGATTAATGTTGGCGGTGACCGGATCCAATGCTTTATTATGTACGGGTAGTGCTTTTGGTCGATCGGAAATGTTTGGTGTGCGTGGTGGTGGTCCGCTCATAATATTTGATAAAATTGATTTTCGAATGTATTTACGTTGGGCCGGTGTAACCGGTCCACTATCGAATGACGATTTTTTAATGAGAGTTTTCGGTGTTGCCGGCTCATCAAACAGCCTTAATTGGCTCACCTTTCGGTACGGTGGTGATTCTAAATGCATTTTTGAGTGCATCAACGTCGTCGATCGCACCATTGGTCGAATGTTTGGATTTCCTTCGGAAGACAAAAAACAAGTACAAATTAAATTTGTCAAACAGTGTGTATCAAAAACTAATTTCTATCATATTTTTTTCTATCAACAAAATACATACTCATACTAATATCTTCATCATCGTCCATAGATGATTTATCGCCGTCATCGTTGTTGTTATTGTTTTTGGCGAATGGGCCGAGCGTCGGACGTCTCATAATGTCTTGCATTTCATCACCATCATATTCATCGTACATTAAGGCTCTTGGCGTTAATTTGGCTAAAGGTAAACGTTCCGGTGATGAAAAATCATCAGGTAAATCACTGCTTGAATTCATATCGATTCCACTTTCTGCGTTTTGTTCCATTTATCACACATTCAATACATTCGGTTACGTTCGGCTTAATTCACTTAAGTTTGGCTTATTCTCTCGATAACATTCCAAATCGAATGACAATTTATTCACATATATATATTTTGGCAATAATTTGGTTATGAACGTACAATAACAATAGCTACCATCCAAATTTATTTATGAAAATGATAACGATGATATTTATTTGGTAATTTTGGTTTGTGCAATTTTTGAGATATGCTTTCACCTTTATTTCATCTATTGTTGTCGTCCAAACAAAACTATTTATTTTATCACAATATGTTTTCAAACTTGAATTTTATTTACACTTTATAAAATGTTCATGCTTCTTGCTCTTCTTCAAACAAGATAGTTTTTTAAAAAATGTTACTCAAAACTTATCAATTAAAAATTATTTGCTATCTTTTTTTTTATACAAAACGATGTTATTTGAAATATAAACTACGATTGACGCAGTTTGTATTGAAGTGTCATGGCGTGCAATGGAATTTAAACGTTAAAATTTAAAATGCAAGAGATTATGACATATGCAGCGCCATCTACAACTACAACTGATCCGAAGCATGTATTGAATGTGAGACGCACACCAAATTTAGACATTTGACATAAAATGTCAATATTGTGCAAAGCAACACTTCGTTCCTCGTTTGTCACATTTGCCCATCAAAAATATTTGAACAAAAAGATTCTGTACAAAAAATAGGTTAATAGTTATAAAAACCAAGATTGAATCTTGGTACAGTTTCCTTTGGTTCGAATGTTTATATATGAATTCCAATGAAATTAATTTCCTATACACTCCGAGATATATTACGTAAGCGGCCAATTTTATTGTATTTGATTACACCACCAGTGTTTTTCATCTTTGGGGCCGGTCTTGAGGTTGCTATGATTAAATGGAAACCAAACGGTGTTAATTTTTGTGAGTACCAATACCAAAACTTCTGTCTTTGAAGGTGAAACACTTTTAACATTATGTTTTCCTCACCAGATGATACATACAAAAAGAATCGTGCCAAAGAGATTGCCGACGAACGACTAAGAGCAAAATAAAGTAATTTAAAAATGTATGCAGGAGTTTCTATGGGAAAGAGCATCGCACTGCTTGTAATATCGGCTGCATCAATGTTAGCTGGATCAAATGTTGTGCACCAATATTACAAACCTCTCGATGACTTGGAAGAATATGTAGAACGGGAAATACAAAACAGAAAATCGTCAAATAGTTAAAATAGAATTCTATTTATATAAATGAATAAAACTCGCTGATTTTTTTGTCGCTTAAATTGTAGGAAAAAACAAAAAAAAGATTTGTTTTATTTCATTGTCACTTAATGCTAATTTGATTGGATATGAGTAAGAACATAAGAGACCAACACCAAAATTACATCAAAATTGAATGTAATAAATCATTTGAATGAAATGACGATAAATATTTACTCAATAAAAAAACATCAATCAATGCTGTAAAAATCTAGTCAGATCTGTTCTTTTTGGCTTATTTTTTGAAAACGGGAATTTTTGATTTTCGTGCACTGCCGCGACTGTCGTCCAATTTACTGAATGACAAGTCACTCTTATACTCATTATTGATTTTCGAATGCAATGGTGTTTTCAGTGCCTGCTCCGCTGATGCACCACGACGATTGATTACGCTCAGCGGAATTCGTCCCGTTCGATTATTCTTGTTCATAAATGGTGTTGAACACATCATTTCGTCTGGATCAATGTTTTCTTCTGACGATTTTGCTTGTTTTGAATCGGTTTCGCATGCATCGCTTGCTAAGTATTCTTTTTTATTGGCATTCGGGCGATTTCCAAAGTCTGGTAAAATGTCCATTTCACCATTCGGAGTTTTTCGATCGCACAAATCCTGTTTTTTGTTCTCATCACATTCCACTTTTTGAACTCCCTCTACCATCACAGCCTCTTCCATAGTTATGTCGTCCAATTTTGCATTGAAATCCCGACAGCTATCATCGAGCGTTGTATTGTACTGGAATGAGCTGCTGTCACTTTCATTCACTGCACCCTGTGGTGTTTCTGTCAAATTTATTGGTGTTCGTGGAATTGCAATGCTTGGTGAACGTGGATCTATTGTAAGATAAGACACACATATTGAAAAAAAAATTTAATATAAAATATATATTATATGGCAAAGAAGAAACAAAATAATTCATACCTTCTTTGATCGAATAGTTGTAGCCCAAGTCATACAAAATTTTCTTGCGAAGAAGATATGATGGTGTTTTGATTGCTTGATTTTGATTTCCACCGTCGTTTGAGATTCGATTCAAGTGATGTGCAATTGTTTGAGTCAATGGTGTTTGTGGAATGGCTGGCGTTTTTGGCTCCAACATTTTATTGGCTTTAATTATATCATCCACAATTGGTGAATGCTCGTCATTGATCGCAGCAACCGATTTTTCTGGAGTTTTCTCAACGACGCTTCCTTTTTTGCTTGGAGCATTTCCCATTTTTCTTGCTGATTTTTTAACACACAAATCACTTGAGAAGACGCTTTGTCAATTGGAATATTTGTAATTCGAACGATTTGATTGAAAATAATGATTTTTTTTTATTTTTTGAAATCTTTCCAGAGAACACAAAATCATGTGTGATTTACTTGAACTGCGATTTGAATAGAATGCAAACGGCCATTTTTGAAATGTTCGGTTTGACATTTGTGCATGTAATGCATGCATTGTGCACGAGAAACTGGTCTGTGTCATAAAAAGTGAACTGAACTGAGCTTCAATTGTTTTGACAAATTAAGTACAACGTGACATTGAACATTGTTCGAATTGATGTAATGTTATTTAAATGGTAATTTTTTTTCTTCTTGAAATTCTTCACTGCATTTAAATAAATAAGTAAAATGAATGTAGTTTTCAACGTAAGAAGATCTTTTTCTTGTGAAAAATACCTTTGTTTGTAACGTTGTTATGTTTTGAGAAAATAAGAGAATTATACAGCATCAAACATTTTTTTCCAATTTTTCCAAATGATCTAAGATTCCTCCATTTAATGCAAAGAAAACACACAAATTTGTTAAAAACATTCTCAAATCTTATTATTAATCCTTTATTAATTTTAATGTACATTTATTCACCTACAAAAAGCACAACAAATCGTCTGATGAAATTCATGAAATTCATTGCGAATGTTTGATACCAATTAAAAGTCGATTTTTTGGTGTACAATCTTCTGGCTGCAATTTCGTTAATTTTGTGTGATAACCACATTCTTCCATGTACAATTTACGATCTGTATCGATGATATCCATGCAATATTGACCTTGAATGCTTTTCGCAACATTATTCTTATTATTTTTCATGTCATGAGCCTGGTCGGCACAATGAGCAATACACAGATATTCATCCAACGAGATGTTGTTGCTTCGGAAAAATTTACTGCGTGGAAATGAAATGTGTGGCATCTCAATGACTTTTCCATAGCAACACGGACAGCAAACAAAATTTGCATTTCTCTGTCTGCAGTGCATTAAAACAATGTCACTTGCAATTCCGCACGCATGCAAAGATGTACCAATGTCAAAGTCGCCGACGAAATAATCCAAATTACATTGAAAAAATCGAATGTTTGTCAAGTTTAATCGTTGGACTCGTTTTCTTGCTCGCACTATCATCTCCTCTTTGTTGTCCAGCATGTAAACCATACATTGGGGTAATTTGTACGCCAGAATTATGGCAAGGTGTCCTTGACCACTGCAAAAATCAACAATTCTATCGCCAATTTTGGCTATGGCAATTATTTCTCTAGCCAAACTAAAGAGTTGCTCTTTTTTCCGCTGTAATCGATTTTCGGGTAGATTTCCACCCTCCGGAAGTGCGTCATATGGTAACAACCAATCACAATAATCATCAACATTCTCGTCTTTCGAACGTGACGATATTTCGATATCGAGCTGATTTATTTTCTTTAATGACTGTTCAATGTTCTCATCACGAGTGTAGGTCCGTTGCCTATTTTGCTTTGAATCACGTTTGTACAAGGTAAATGATTCACCCAGTCCTTGTATGATGTAATTGATGTGTTGATGTGGTTGAGGTATCGTTGGTTCAATTAGCAACACCATGCAATCTCTTATTTGTGGATGATTTTTCACAGTTTCTATCCATTTATATGTGAGTGGAATTTTTTGGGCTAAATTTTCAGAGGTTTTTCTCTCTAAAATGGATTGCATGAGCCAAAAATATGGAAATAATATGAGGTCTGCAATTGAGATTTGGGGTCCCTCGACAAACTTATGTTCCAAAGTAATATTTTTGGTCATAATGTCATTTTTACTCGTTTTTCTCTGCTTTGGAGTATCTGAGATTGATTCAGAATTGACCTTTAATTCATGTGCAAGATCCATCGTCAATTTACGGATGTTATGTGCTTTAACTGGCCGCGTCAAATGACTTTCAAAGTAAGCAAATTGATTTGGTAAAATGTACTCGCTATCAGACGATTTAAGTTGCTTGTGGATTTGCAGTACGGTTTTTGTCGCTTGTGCGATGTCCACTTCACAAAATTTCGTCCATGGCGATGCTTCTGATGGCGCTTGTAAACAACCCTCCTTAAAACCGAGCAAATATTTGAATTTATCATCGCTGTGCTTTATAATCGCTCGGCAAACCGAACTCAGACCAGAAATCACGACGTTTTCGCTCACAATCACAGGAAAACTACAATTACTCGCTACGTCCAATGCAAATGTATTTGCTGCTAATATTGTCGATTCAAATGATTTTCGGTTAATTTTAATGGCTTCGTCTGTTCGTTTGTCATCAACATTTGGTACCAAAAATACTTCAACATTCGACGGTTGTCCAACGAACTTCAATACAAAGAGTACAATTGACGTTTCTAATGTTACATTTATCGTAGTTTCATCACAGGTATCGGAGAATGTTTCCAAATATAATTTGGAACACATTTTTTTGCGTGTTTTTCTGTTTTAACGCGTTTTCAAACCGATTGCTCTAGTTGTCGTTGAACTTTGAGCATCACCTTACGATCCAAAGATCGTTGTCGCAAAAATGTTACACCTGTTGATAGGGCACCAACAACAATCAAAATTCCCTCAAACGTCCAAAAATTTCGTTCGTCAATCCAAGCAACTTTGTCACAACTGTTGAATAAACGGAATAATATTGAAAATCAGGCAACAAAAACAAATAAAATTCCATACCTTCTGGAGACGGTTTCCCCACTTTTACAGCGTAATATTTCTTTGTTGTGTGTGTGCACACACACTCCTTGACTTTTGCTGGCTATTTCGTAATCTGGTGAGAATATAAATATTTAATTATTTTCAGAGAATTTTATGCCAATTGAATTGATTCGGTACCTGTGCACGGATGACAGTCGTGTATTATTTCAAAATCTTCGTGCGTATAACACGTTGAATTGTATTCAATGATAAAGTTGCGACGTGGAGATTCTGTCCAACGTGACTCAACGATTAATACAAATACTGTAGCTCTGAAATGAATAGATATTCAGATTGAAAACACATTAACAGTTCATTATATTTTAATAAAAGTTTTTAAATAGAAAATCTTTTATTTTATTTGTTTTTTCTTGTTGAAAACATTTTTTTTTGGTTAACAAAATGTTAAACTCACATTGTTAGTAAAGTTATTGCAAACACCATACGCTTTTTTGGGCAGGTTTCAATCATTTTCAAATGTTATTTTGCGATTCACAAAACAAAAAAGAATATCGAACAATGAATTTTATTTTGAAATACCATATCATGCTAATAATTATTTGGACTGATTTATTTTAATGCTCTTTGTTGAAATGAATAAACATTTGACAATTGAAATGTCATTTTCGTCTAAGTATTTTGTTGAACGAATACTTTATTTTTTACTTAAAATTTTAACATTTGAATCACACTTTGAAATTTGATTCGCAAAATTGTCGCCGTACCCTTCAAATCGCTTGAAATTGAACTAATTGATATTATTTATTATTTGATTGTTTCTGTCTACAATTTTGATATTTACACATTTCGAGTCATTCCGTTTAGCTGCTATTCATACTTATAATTTCTCTATATACTAACAATTCATCATGCAAAACGAGGTCTCTGATGAAAATTTCAATATATTTGTGAAGCTGGGAAAGATGCCTCCAGGAAAAATAAAGAAAGAAAAAGTTCATGGTGTCATCAATGGTCCGTGAAGCAAGAGAAAATTCGATGAAAAAAATTCACAATTCATTCTCCACAGAAGAAGAAGAAGAAGAATGGTAACGATAAGATCGATGGAAAAAATGATCATGCAGAAATGCTCGAACCGGAATGTATAGTGGTACAACCGGTTTATATGGTGACAAAATAATATTCAACATTAAAGCCAAGGACAGCGATGACTATGAAATTGTGCAAATTTGGCTTGTTCACAATTGGTGATTGAATTCTACTGATCAATTTACCGTTAAGCGAGCCGTTTTTAAAATAATAATAAAGCCCGTTGAAACTTCGAAGAAATAATATTTATCATTTATGTTTCTTATTTCAATAATCGCCGAAAAGTATTGATTTGGTTGTTATTTACTTACATACTTACTTAAAAAGCAATAAATAATAATAATAATAAAAACTCTGAAGCAAAAGAAATGAAATTTTTTTTAAAAAAATTTATAATTTTGGAATTTTATTGTAAAAGTGGTATTTTTCTTAATTTAAATTTCGTACAAAATACCACAACAGGTACATCAAACACAAATAGTAAAATTCATATAGTAAACGTGGCGAAAACACACTCCAAATAAATAAATGTTGTCTTAGTGCTAAAATAATGAATAAATACAAAATGAATGGGAATGCAACTAATAGCACGATCAGAGGTAGTACAATTGTTTGTGATGACTGTCCAGTGCAGTCATAAGTGTTATGGATGAATGTTAAAAATGATAAAATTGGTCCACTGAATGTATTCAACGTTAAAAAGAATCCGACTGCAGCAAAATTAAATGAATTTAGACCAATGTAACCGGCTGCGAGGTCAATCGATGCCAAACTATTCGAATTCCCTTGATAAAAGAAGAATTGTTTTCCGATCCACAAATGCAGCACACATTGCTCAAGCAAACCAGCGGACTTTGAATTTTGATCGATGGAAAATGGGACACTTTGTTGGATTTTGTTGCATGAGAATAGTAAGAGTGATATTAAAAATATGTTATGTGGTTTATGCGTCAACGCAATGACTAGTGTTGATAAAACGACGAGCGTTCCGTAAATTGACTTGATGTCAAAACGACTAATTTTTAATTTTAAAGCATTGAACAGAATTGGTGCATAGTTGATGGCAGCAATTTCAATGATATTCAGCCAAAAAAGCGTCAATGCCGTACCGGTTGAACTGAAAGAGATGAAGAACAGTTAAATATATATTTTTGATCAAATAACTTATTTTTGATTATATTTTCTTACTCAGATGGCTTAATTCCAGCGAAGTAAACCGAACCGTTGAGCGTTCGATAGTAGTAAATCAGCATGCATGCGGTAAGTGTAAGAACGTTGGTGAGAATATTTCCGAAATCCAAAGACGTTAAATACGCGAGCAAAAGGGAAGCGCTAACAAATAAACTATTCCAAATTCGATTGTCCTCCATTTGCAGCCAGTCACCAATGTCCGGTGTATTCAGCCATTTATCACCTGTTTGATTTAATCGGCGTGCAATCAAATGGCCACAAAGTAAAACTGCCCATTTCAATTGGTTTTGCACAAGAGCCGTCGAATTTGATTCGGGTTTTTGTGTCAGGTGCTTACTTATAAAATGCCGACTTTCCATCACATACAACATTAACCAAATGGTATTGTTCAAATAATACCATATTTGATGTTCTTCTTCAATGAAACTACTGCTGAATGTCGATACTGCATGGAATATCACTCCAAATACAAGGAATTTTTGGAAATTTGTCATCTTGCACATCGATTTTATCGATGTCACAAGGTCAATATTTCGAATTAATATCAGTAAAAAGTTAAAATTTGAGAAAATCACGAAATAGATTATGCTGAACAATGGAATGCCGCTAAAGCTTGATTTTGTTATAGAATTTCCAAGGAAATTGCAATGTAGAATGCTTGCTATGAAACTGAATAATGTAGTGAACTTCAACGGAATGGTGATTGGGTCGATTTTAACTTTTGTCACAAATTTCAGAGCCACATACAGAAATGACTATAAAAATAGTAAAATTGTAATCACTTTGAAAGGATATAGTATTAAAAAAACACTTCAATTACCGTTAGTGAACAAAATAAGCCAAGCGCAATGCAAAGATGATCAAAATTCACATAAGAATCGGCCAGTCTATTGCTCATTTCCTTCGACGACGAGATGTAATGACGTTCCGCTGATTTGAAATACTGTAATCGGTCGTTTTCTTTGGCATTTAATTGAAGAAATTTCTTGTGCGCATTTTTGGCATCGTTGAATTGTAAGAAGAACTCTGTGCGATGAAATTAAAATTACAATTCAAACATAATGAAAATTAGATGTGGTTTTACCTTCATTTTCAATTGCATCATTCAATAGAGTAAGTTTTGCCAAAAGCGTTTGTCCGTTGTAAAAGTAACAATATAATTTTTGCTCCATTGACAATACATCTAGTAAATTATGTATGAGCTGGCCACTGCTAGAGGCAGGAATTGGTAAACCAAGTAAGACAGACAACGTGGCACTTATATCAATCTGATTGTACGTATCGTTTGTTTGTATGCAAGATGGTCCGAGGAAGATAAGTGGCACATTGACTTCTGCATATGAACTGCCTCCGTGACCACCACTATCACGCATCCCGTGATCTGATGTGACGATAAATAATGGCGGTTCTTCCGACGACTGCATCTACAAGAAAATATTTGAAAAGCATAAGTATGAGTTGAGCGATGGAATGAATTCAATCAATTAACTCACCATATGTGATAGTGCCAAATGAATATGCATTGCAACTGTATCCATTTCTCGAAGTTTATTCGGCACTTTAGAACTAAATGGTCCTTCTACAAGTATAATCAATATTTAATCATATATACTTTGGAAAAGTTTAGTTCGACTACTAACCCACATGACCAATGTGATCAAGTCCAAGAAAGTGTAAGATTAACAGTTCCCAATCGTTTCGTTTCAATTCAACGCTTAATTTCTTTGTAATATTCTTATCGCCTTCGTAAAAGTCATTCACATACAATGAGTCTTCATTTTCAAGTTGCCGGAGGAACATGTTTGGAAACATTTTAACCCAGGTATTATCGCCGCAAAAGACGATGTTTCTACCATTGTCGTATGCTTGATGTAATAGAGAATCCATATGTAGCTCAGAGCTTCCCAAATTCATCACGACATCGATGAAATTCGGAACCGTTCCAGTTGTCATTGCCTAATCAAATGTCAAAATAAACTCTCTTCAAAATTCGTACAAAGTGAGTTTATAGAGTAAAATTGGTAACCTTAATTCTTGGCATTGTCACCGTTGGTACGTCCACATTTAAATTAATCATGCATGCAGTTCTATCGTTGATTATTTTATTAAGATACTTCATTGAGGTATTTTGTTGATTGTAGAGAAAATCGGTTCGCATTGCATCAATTACCATAAGCACTGTGCGTGAAACATGCCGGCGGTAGATTGATTTATTAAGACTGAAAGCAAACTTTGTACTTAAAAATAAATTTGAAAAGCAAATAATTTCCACACTCACGGAATATCGTCAAGAAATGTGGGCAAATCATCCGATTCAGCACGTTCGTTACTAGTATAACTGAGTGGGAAAAAACCATACAAAAATAATGATGCACCGACTAAAATTGCAAACACAAAATACGATTGAATCCATTTTTCACGTAAAATCATTATGCCAAAATGTGTTTTTTTGAATTTTGACACGATTGAAACATTGGGAAGGAAACTTTTTCAATTCACACAATCCATTGTTTTCGATTTGTTTTGATTGACTGTCATTTTTTGCCGATTGATAAAAAGTGTCAAATGTGGTGGCGCTGCATTCGCATAATCGGATTTTTTGAATTGACGATAAGCAAATACATAAACAATTTGCCTCCAGATATGAGTTTCGCACAGAGATTTGATGGTATTGTTTTTTTATTATTATTTTTACTCGTATGTACCAAACACACAAGTGTGTGATCATTGATATGTATATAACAAAAGACAGTGTTTCAAGTGATTTCCAGTACTAAATATCGTTCTGTGGTGTTTGGCTGATTACTCCAAATGTATTTATATTAAAGGTCATCTTGACTATTTTATTTTTATATATATTCGGGATAAATTAATTATACTGGATGAGTAATCGGAGTTTTTTTTACGGCAAGAGCATTTCTTTTGTTATTTTGCGTAATGAAAGCGAAAGTTTCCATTAATTAAAATTCAACAGCGATCGTCAGCAATAATTGTTATTTATATTATTATGTTTGGTCTTATTCGATTGCAACTGTATTCTATTGCTTTAAAATCAACAAAGAGACATTGAAATAATAATAATATAAAATGTGTGCGGCAGTTAATAGTGATTCGAAGAAGAAAAGAGTTAAAACAAAATCTGTGCTCGGCTTTTGCAATAATTGGTTAACAAAAATGGTTCCAACAAATTCGAAATCAAATCTGAAAACCGATGCAGTTCCCTTGGATAATAATGATTTGCAATTAAATCGAAACACATCGAACCAAATTGCGCATCAATCGAATGGAACACTTGAAAATGTTGACAATCAACAGCAAAATATTCAATTAATACCGAACTCCAGCCAATTAGCACCATTAAACAATACCAATAGTGAAGGAATCGCATGGCCGCCGATGCAATTGATTCAAAATAATTTGAGACCAACCAATCAAAATATGACCGTTATTGAAAACCAACAAAATCTGCACTTTAACAACATTCATGGTCTTCAAATTGGAAATACGTATCATGTGCCTGCCAATACTTCATCACGTAAAAATAGTTGCAACGGAAACCAGAAGTCGAATCGAAGAATTACCAAATCTATTGAAGGTAAGAAGGAAATGGAGTTCGAAATTTATAGAAAAAACAATAAATTTTAATTTTTCAATTAGAATTGATGAGTAATATGGATGAAATCGAGCCTCAAGTCATGCGTATTGCAGCAAAATTTATCGGTGAAAATTGGCGCATGGTATTCCGTGATTTGGACATTCCAGACGCGGAAATTTCTCAAATTAAAGAACAATACTTTCACATAAATGTAGAGGAAGTCATTTATCAATTATTGCTGCGATGGAAACGCAACAGTGACGATTGTTCTATTGGAAAACTTTCGACAGTTTTGTGGAACACCAATAATGACGAATGTATCAAAGCATTGAAAAAATACTATAAAAATCTGAAAAGATCACAAGTTAGCGGTGGGATTGATTCATCGGAAAGTTAGAGCTGAATTTACGTTGCATTTTTCAGCCTTCTAAACGCACCATGGAAGATGATTTTTTTTTTGTATACAATATTTGTAGATTAAATTGACGATGGTTGAACGTAGCTCGAATTTTTCAGATCTTACAACTTAAAATAATAATATATAGACAGGCCTTAATGTGCTCAAACGAATTCAGATTTGCATAATAGTGCTTGAAACAATCGTTAATTTTTTTAAAAGTTGCATTCAGAATCTGAGCCAGTTTACATTTATTGAAAAGTTGAGAGAAGTTTTACTTCTGCGGATAAATGAAATCAGTTATTTAAAATTCACGGCAGTAAATGGTAATTAAAATGAGTAAAATCGCAAGTAAACAAAAATCTGTAAACACTGCTGATAATATCCAATTTGAAGCATATCGTATGATATGCTAAGAAACTCGCACAAATGAACGATAAGAAAGCAGTTTAATTACTTAGTCAGCAAATGATTAGCTTGTGAAAACGATTTGTAATGTTTTTTTGTTAAGCTTATGGTTTTTGTGTCAAAAAAATCAAGCGTCGAAAAAATACGACGTTTATTCAAGAGATTTTTTTAAGTGAATAAATGACAAAAATTAATATTAAAATGCATACTTCCGGAAAGTGTAAATTGATTTCTATCGAAATGGAAATCCATTGGAAGCAAACTTTATCCAAATAACTTCAAGATCTCCACTGAAAAAATCGCTTTTTTTCTTAAGTAAAGAACTGGAGTGGCTAAAGGATTTATAAATTTAACACAGTTTCATTTTTAATTTTCAATAAAAATTGTGTGTTTGTTTACAAAATGGAAAAAATGTATACATTGTATATCATTCAAATTAAGTGCAACATTTTTTTATTCTTAAGATCAACAAAATTAAAAATTAAAAAAAAAAATAAAGCAAAATAAGATTTAAGATGACGGTGTAATCTGTTTCGAACATGTGATAGTAGAATGAGATGATTGTGGTACACTTTTATGCTGTAGCTTCGCTTGATTCACAATATTTTCGCAGATGACTCATAAACTCTGTCATAACCGATGTGTATGCCTAAGAATAAAAATGGATATAAAGATCACAGCATATGGATTGTTTTTTTTTTTTTTTTTTGAAAATTACCTTATCTAGAACAAAACGAGGAAAACGTCCTTTTAAATCTATGCACATGACCCAATCAAATGTACAGATGTTTGGATCGGTTTTTGATTCCCGCATGGCCCAACATGCCATTAGATTCTCACCGCTGAAATATAATTTAGTTATTAGGTCCAAGCACAAAGAGAGTAATTTAAGCACTTACCGCGTGTATTCTTTAACTGTAGGCATATGATCATATTTAATACTAACACCCGATACAAGATAAATTTTATCACACAATTCATTAGCTATCTCTTTAATATGTTCCACCTCTTCCGACCGATGCAATTGCATTGGTGAATCATTTTTACTATGAGCACCCTGTGAATCGTTTGCGTCAACAAATTCATCATTATCGTCGGTGGTACTTTTGCTGTTAAACATTTCGGCAACCGGTGTCTCGAATTCATCATCGCTAAACACTTTTGCACCCAAACTTCTGCTCAATGAATACACTGACTGATCCATGATTGATGAACTTTGAATCTGATTTTCCGTTAGGTCGGATTCACTTGTTGATCTCATAATTTGCTGTACAGTTTTATCGCTTTGGAGTGATGATTCGTTGGTTAGTGTTATGTCATTGCTCAGTACATCATCTTCGATGATGTTGCCATTTTTAATAACTTGCCAACTTCGTAAATTCACAAAGTCTCGACTTTCAACTAGCCCACCGGCACCAGGCGCCGACACTGAATACGTAATATCAGTGTGATTGTCGATTTTCTGGAAATATTTTTTTTTTGCATAAACATTTTGGTCATCAGTAGCATTCGGATAGTACTCACCTTGAGAATTCTTGCTTGCAGTACGGTTGGATTCCATGTCGGCATTTCTTCAATGCCATAATATAACGTACGTAACAGTTTCTTTGCCGATAAATTCATTTGACCCTTAAATTAAATCACATTTTCAATTATAAACATTCCAAGAAATTCTGTTTGACGTTAATAATTACCGTTAATCGATAGATTTTTCCAAATTTCTTCCTATTCGTCGATTGAATACGATCACCAGTCGACGCAATCATTTTTTCCACTTTCCAGTCAATGCTTTCCATTAATTCAAAAGCGGCTTGAGCATCAGCGATGGCTTTGTTTTTGTACAATTCATTTTCATCGCCTTCCGAATCGCTATTATGTGCCGACTCAATGGGCGAGTAAAAGTTTGCAACGCTGCTATCAGTCTGTCCAAAGTTGTGTAGTGTATTCAAATATGATTCAAGCAAAGGCGATCTTTCGTTATCATCTACTTGTGACTGTCAAGAATAAATATATAGGTCGTTTTAATGCGTAAAATATAAAATGGCAATAAATTTACTATTCCAAATATAGGACATGCATTTTTTTTTGTGTACGCACCATTAAGAGGCGATAAAATCGTTGCGCATTTTTCTCTTGCGGAATGACACGACAATCCAAAAACCAAGCCTCACCCCAAGCCAGCAAGCACGAAACAATGATCATTAACACCTGAATTATTGGCTGTGCTGATACCAACCACTGAAATAGCACAAACAATTAATTTTATTTGTTGAAAAAAAGCAAATTCGATACATACATTATAATAAAAGACTTTGCCAACTAAAAAAGCACAGGAAGCAGTTGTAGTAAACTATAATTACATAAAAAGTTGATTAGATAAAATGATAAATTACTTTGATAAGAATAACGTACAGCAATAATGCTCCAATGATTTATGGCTAAAATTCCATAAAATATTATAAGCAATAAAAAGCGAACAAAAGCTGCCAGAATAATGTCGAATAAAGATGTGTAAATTGAATATTGTACGACTTGAACTTTTAATGCATTCAATATGGTATCACCATTTATCTTAAATTGAAAAAACGGATAGAATTAATTATTTTAAAATCTTTTATTAATCTAATATCATAATTTCTATTGTTCATTACTCACCATAATGCAGATGAACCACAACATTGATATGAAAAATAAATCAAACGCTACAAATAAGCAGAAAAAACGACGAACGGTTGACATTTGTCCATCCTGTGTGTAGCCAGCGATGTAATCCTCATTAACAAAACTCAACAAATCCAATTGAGTGTGATGAGACCGAGCTAAACAAAGGAATTACACATTTTTTTCGTAAAAAAAAGTTGCTTCCGATAAGACTGACTAGTGCAATAGCATGTCTGTTGAAGTATATTTACATAGAATCAGCGGAGGCCGTTGAGGATTTCGATAGTAGAGGGTTTCGGCAGCAAACCGAATATCACGTCGCTCGGCGGAAGACATTTTTCACTCATTGATATGACCACAGTCTATCATTCTTTGTGTTCAATTTTAGGAAGAGTTTGTCATATCACACCAAAACAAAATGTTCAATAAAAAATAAGCACCGTTTTCCAAATTTTATTCGATGAAAACTAATTGATTTCACATTTAAGTTTTATATTTTCACTTAGCAATGGTTGCATTTTAGAAAAAAAATAATATCTCAGAGTAAACAAAAAAAATCAACTTTTCTCGATAATAACTTATGTTTACAAACATTTGTACGACACTTGATTTGTGACTCATTCGTTTTCCATTGTACTTTGCACTTCTTCTTCACTTGCAGACATACGGTAGCTGCCTTTTTCACTGACTGTACATTACATTTTGTTCAATCAATTAAATTAAGGTTCTTCTTTTTTATTATGTGTGTATCGTGATTTGAATCTAAATGAAAAGTGCACGAGCGAAAAAACTAAAAGCAGCAAACATAACTAAAAAACAAACAAATAGAAAATATTGCAAAATTGTCACAATGAAATTCATTGTTGGCATTATTAAACGCGATTCATTAAATTAAAAAAAAAAAACAAATTTTTACTAATTTGTCGAACTTTCAAATAAAAATCACAATGACGTACACACTTTTGCACGGGTTATTTCAGTGGAATGACTTTTGGAATCGAATCGAGAGTATTTTATTGTTGTTGTCGTTTTCTTTTTCTGTTCAACCGGAGTTGATGAGATTCCTTTTATTTTGAAACGACACGTTTTTCGTAGCTACCGATTAAATACATATCACATTTGTTTGTATCAATTTTGATACATTACATAAAAATCCACGACGAAATAATCGACAGTTTAAATATCAACTCAATTTGATTCGATTCACTTACTCTTTATGTGTGAGAAAGAAAATTAAAATTATGACACTTCAACAAAAACAAAAACAGAAACAGAAACAAACAAAAACAGGTGATGTTATTGTATTTGTGCGGTCATGTCAACCAAATTGATAATACAAACGGTTCGACATCAATTTCATTCGATTTTATGAAAATTTAATAAAATCTATTGCTAAGTGATATTTCTTATCGTATGCGTATTTCTATTTTTTCTTCGAATGTCAGTGAAAACAGCAAGTGACGAATAGTCTCTCTGAATGGTGTTACTGTAAACTAAATCAATCATATGTTTATGAAATTGTTATGTGTGTTTCAATTGTGGCTAACTTCATGCATATCGCGGTTGAACGGCTGTCATGTTTGTCATAAGCATTTCATCTGGCGCAAAAACTTATTCACCAAAGCACATCTTATTCATTGAATTTTCCGTATTAACAAAATGTTTAATTTATTCCGAACACCGCAATTAGTTCGAATGGTTGAAAATGGCATGAAAAGTGTCAATAAACCATTCGTTGCAGCGTATTGTACAGGAGATTTACCAAAGCGCATGGAAAAAAGTAAGTTTTATGGTTTGAGGTTAGAAAATTACCAATTTGTCTTTGTTAATGTAACCATTTTTCAGCCATCAACAGTGTTACTTTGCTGGGTCGTGTTGGAAGCAGTCCACAATTGAGAGGCAATGAAAAATCACAAGTGGTCACATTCTCCATAGCAACACACACAAACTACAAGTACTGAACTGAGCGTCAATATTTTTCCCTCGCAAATAATAATGTTTTTTTTTTTGTATATGTTTTAGAATTGAGAGCGGTGATTGGGCACAACGAACTGATTGGCATCAGGTTGCCGTATTCAAGCCGGATCTTCAAGAAAATGTTACAAATTACTTGACAAAAGGGAAACGCGTATTGTTGTATGGAAGAATAACGTACGGTGAATTCCGAGACAAAGACGGAAATCTACGAACGTCTACAAGTATCGTAGCCGATGACATTACCTTCTTCCAATAAGTTTTTTTTTTTAATTCAAATTAAAAACACATTTCTTATTGTTTCTGAAAATAAATGCCATACAATTTATTTGATGATCAGTAAACAAATACAATGAATTGAAGTAATTAGTAAGCCCAACTGAAAATTAAATAAGAGTAATGAATTAGTTTTAGTTTTTGCTATTAAAAATTAAAATAAAAATATCAAATATTGCTTACATTTTAACGACTTTATCTTTTCCACCGGATGCAACTCGGCTGCCGTCCAATGCCCAGTCCAATGCAAACACCTCATCAGCATGTCCTGGCAATTCTTGTTTCAGTTTCTTATCTTTTACGCTCCAAACTATGAAATTGATCAATATGAAATTATTTCTTCTTGACGATTTGTATTTGTCAAATGGAATATGTACCTTTTAGCGTAGAATCTTTGCTGCCACTAACCAATAGACGGGAATCGGCCGACCAGGCGACGGAATAGACAGCTTGCACGTGACCACGGAATGTGCAAATAAAATTGCCATCGGATGCCCGCCACAAACGAATCGACTTATCAAATGAAGCCGATGCAAATAATCTATAATCAGCGTCCAAGAAATTCGTATTAGAAATGATGTGATTGTGAATTTCAATAGTGAAAATGTAAATTACTTGACATCTGGTGAATATTTAACATCGTTTACAACATTTTGATGACCAGTCATGCGATTAATGAATTTCGATTTATCGGAATGCCAAAGATACAATGTAAAATCGTCTGAACATGATACGAGTGACTCAACACCATTTGGACAAACTTCTTTGTATCGTTCCAATGCGGTTTTTCGATTTTCTGCAAATTAAAACAAAAGACCATTGATTCAACACGATTCAAAAAAAAAATCTGATTTTCATACTTTGTTTTGCTGTCATCACTTTATCATCATCATGAACGCCCAAATAAAATGGTCCGGCTCGTAAAACGTAGTCTGTGTTCAACGTCAAACTATTGACCCAATGAGCGTGACCTGTCATTGTACGGCACAGTGCACCGTCCTCAGCTCGCCACATTTTGATTGTTCGATCTTTTGACGATGTATACAGTAAACCCAAACCACCCCATCGAACTGATGTGACTGCATTCGTATGGCTGGTCAATACTCGAATGCATTGTGATAAAACTACATCCCAGATTCGAACATCACCATCGCAGCCAGCACTTGCAATTCGACGACATGCTGCACTCAAATGATACGGTTCCCAACTAAGGCTGTTTATCCACTTTTTATGGCCAATCATTGGTTTGCCGATTTGTTTGCCGGTTTCGGGATCCCATATACGAAGCTCACCATTTTTATCGGAACTTGCCAATTTCTTTCCATCTGGCGACCATGCTACACACAAAACCCATTGTTTATGACCATTGCATGTGTATAGCGGTGTTTCTGTTGTTAAATCCCACAACCGAATTGTTGTATCCCCTGAACCACTGGCCAATTGTCTGCCATCCGGACTGAATTGGATGGAAACAACCGCTTCGGCATGACCCGGCATTGAACTTGTACAACGTGTGACCGATCGCACAACGAATTCGGCTTGTGGTTGATAAACAATATTGATAACGGCTTCATGGTCAAACGTTTTAAAATCCAATGTTTTTTCCAACGAATGGGAAACTTCTTTGTCGTTGATGAAAAATAAATAATTTAACGGATCTTCCTGAAGAAACAAAAGATTTTTTATTGTCATTGACGAACAAACATTGAATTTGATTAATACAATACTAACGTTTTGTAGAATGGCATTACAAATTCGGCCCAATTGTGAAATATTAACGGATGTTGGCAAATCTAACGGAGGGCCAGCCTCATCGCCCGCATCTGATACAAAACGGGCTTGTATCGTTTCAGGAATCACTGGATCTACTTCCATGCTTGTTGTTTCTTTTTTGCAAAGTGAATTTTTTTGATTGTTTACAACACGTGCTGCGCTTTGGCAAATGTCAAAGCTAAACAGCTGTCAATGAAGTTTGGTTGTGTGTGGTGAATTATGATGGAGATGTGGTGAATTTGTTTTGTGTATTTGAAATCAGCATCTATCCACATCGTTGGAGCATTCTCCTGCATAAACGTATTTCGGTTTTCGGTAATATACTATAATGACTCTATATAGTTTTTTGTTTGGTATTGCGAAATGCTGAAAAATGCGATTGCGCTGAGATTTGCATGCGACGCGAATATATTTCATCCTTGAATGGTATGTGGAGAATATGTGAGTACACGCAATTCAAAACAATTTCATGTTTTCGCCGAATCGGTCGCATACTTCTGTAGCACACAGAACACAAAATAGCACATTTGTTTGCCCTCTCGCATTCGTCAGAAACAAGGAGTGTTTTACTCGTGTATCACACACGCTCAACATTGGAAGCACCGACCCGCGCGCGGTTATATGAATCGTCATTAGTAATTCATGTGACTCTCGCTCACTAGAGTTTTTTTTTTATATAGAAGAAAAAAAACACATTTTTTTTGTTTCTTTTACATTGCAATTTTTCCACGCAATAAATTTGCTGGAAGGGAAAAACGTGTCAAATAATAATAATAGTGAATAGACTTGAAAAAAAGGAAATTTATATAGTTTTCACTTTTCACAAGAGAATAAAAGCCCATTGTTTTCATATCATTGGCTGTGTGTTTGACGACGACTACGACGACGACCAGGTGTAACATACATCTCATCTAAAATTGCAACAGTGAACGAAAGACGACGTGTGTGTGTGCCAAACATAATAGAAAGCCCGCATAATATCATCCATCAGTAGGCAGAATGATGCAGCCGAGGAACAGGAAAATATGCCTCTTGGCATTTGTTGGAACAATGCTGTTGTTGGTATCACATTGTAAAAGTCATGTAAGTCAAGAGATAAAATGTTAATTGCAAATCCCTGTACCTGATTCAATCGTTTCCTACCTCCTTCCCTTTCTCTCTATCTATCCATGTTGTTAAATTAACCCAAAAAGCATGTAATCACAAAATATTCAGAAATCATCGCATTTACATTTATTAAAAAGCCGTTTTGACAATGAAAAACAATGGATTTCCGCAGTAATCGCGCGCATAAAACGTTATTTCGTATTCATGTCCCGTAAAGAACACTAATTTGAAATTGAATCGTTTGCACAATAAGTTTCAGCCCAATTTGAATTTATGAGCGCACTGTTCTCTTTCCCTTCATTCGATTTTCCAAATTGATAAACAATGATACGATATTTAATGAATGTGTGATGATGTAACGAGGGCACACATTTCAAATGGACCATTTGAGATGGTTTAAGCCAATGGTATCCATTTCAAAACATGTTAAACGGTTTAAAGTACGATTTCTTAATAGCCAATTTGAATATTGCTAACAAAAATTCACGATTTTCTGGGTGGCATTGATATACAGAATAGAAAAATGTACACTGTACGAAGCGAAACATACTGTGAGCATATTCACTAATTATGATGGAAGTTTGGGATGCGTTGAATGGAAAGTCAATGCTTTTGTAATTCCATTTTAAATGCTTTTTTAATCCCATTAATTTAATTGGCTTGGAAAAGTTCTTGACGGGAGACAACAACAGCGGGACCAGCAACAACAATAAATTGTTTAAGAAGTCGTTCGAGCGACAACCAATTCTCTTCTCGTCTCCCTCTCTTTCCATTCATCTTCCCCCACTGTGTCTGTGTATATCTTTGTATTGCCATCAAACAACATATTTTTCTTTTTATTTTAAATTTTAAGTGCATACCCTTCACCCGTCGTTTTGAAACTACGGTTATTCATGTGGAAAACGGTTCGTCATAGTGTTAATCAACATGCTTATTAAAATTAGGAAATAAATGAGTAGTACATAGTACCGCTATTTATACAATAGTCAAATTGAATGGCAAAGTTTGCCTTGTTGAGAAATTGTTCGATGTGGTTGGTCTTTAAGTTTATAATGCCAATGAACACAAAGTTTCCATCTTCTCGTACATTTTTTTTATTCTCTCTCCAATTCAGAAAGCCCGACAAATTCGCAGAATAATGCAAAAAGTGGAACCGAATATCGTGTTCAATTGAGCTTGAACATTCCAGTGGCAAGCTAGAAGAACCAAAATTTAATTAAACAATTTTAATCAAAAATCTTCATTTGCATTATTCATGCAAATGTTTGAATTGTATTTCAACGTTTCAGTTCCATTCGCTACAACTTTCTCTCTGCCACTTGCACAGTGTGTGTGTGTGAAGATGGGTTTGTCTGTGCAAGAAAATCTGTTGAAAAAAAAAAAAATTCATAAAGAAAATCTTTCAATAACATGTAATTACAAGCTACCCTTGCCATTTGTTTGCGTTTCATATTAGTACGATTTTTCATTTCGATTTTCATTCTTTTCGCTTTTTTCTTATTCATATCTTGTGCTGTGCCAGCACATTTCTTTTTTTTTTGTTTCCACACTCTCACGTTGTATTGAAGCATTTTATAACATGTATCGTCGCAGCACTGTTCACCATATTAGTTTTTGATGTGGTGCGGTGTGGTAAAAACTTGAGCACCCCGAAATAAAAATTGGATATATATACTCATACAAATACTTCATAAGAACGAATGCGAGTAAGAAAACGAAAGATCTCAGTAGAATGTAAATAAACTTCTTGAAGGTTTTTCTTCTTCGGCGTTGATGGTAATTTTTGCCAACCAAAAATAGGGTTGATAAAATGGGGTCATTTTTTGTACTTTTTTCACTCCACTCACAGAGTGTAGCGTTTGCTATTGGCCATTATTCCCATTTGCTGCATAAAATTGGCATATCTTTTTGTTAGCAAGCTGAAGACGAGATAGGAGATTTCTTTCCCAAATTTTCTCACATTAAACACACATATAACAATGTAATAAAATCACATTTTCATACTCGACATACTGCATATTATATGGAGCAGGCAAATTGCAATTGGTGCATTACACTGGAATAATTATCGAAAGCGAACCACTTTCCATGCAGCTTTTTCGACCTTAAAGTATATGTATTATATCCATAACGGACGCACAGCGAGAAACTCTCCAACTTATTTTTCCAAACTTTCAAAGATAAATAAAACAAGAATTCTGCCATCATCGCCACCATTGCGAACGTATTTGCGAAAAGAAAAATGTACGAACAAAACAAGCCATAAAATTTGGGACCAACAAACAAAACGTGCCTTTTCTCTATTTTCATATTGTCGACTCTTTATTTATTTTTTATGCGAGAGCATGAGCAAATACATTCATACATACATTTATTTGCAAAATGGTAAGTTTATACTGCCGCAAGCGGTATGATATACCGTTGAGACGTGTACAACACACACAGAAGCTTACCTGGTTTTAAATTGATTTTTGAAAGTAAAATTGTGTATATGTCATTGATTGATGTTCAATTTTCAGTTTGGTTAATAAAAACATATGCATATTTGAAGACAGAGCATTAAGGTGTAAGCACTTAATATAAATTGACTAGAGATTTCCATTGTACCAAGTAAATTTTTTTCGATCAAAAAAATAAGTTGTCAACATTGCGTGAAATGGATTTTCAATCAAAGTTATGTATCGAACATTTTTGCAAACGTTTCAAAACTGAATGCAAGAGCTTAAATGCTAAATCACAGTGATGTCAAAGCGAATGAGATTCGCAGAGATATTTTCAGCATTTTCGGAATGTTCACAACAAAATTGAGTTGTTATGTCGAGCCATCGATTTTATTATGAAATTCGATGCATCGAATTTAAATTTACATCATGTACACACACAAATAAGATATGAAACAAAAAGTGTACGTTGTAGATAAATAAATAATGATTGGACTAGGTTATCTAAGTGCTTCATATCGCCGTCGGGCATATTCATAGATGTGCATACCAAAATCTCTTACACTCTGACACTGGGAAGTATTCTATTCCTGTATATTTTCGGTGTCAATTATTAGACCCCAAGTGTGATTGACGTAGAAAGTGTACATCGAAATGAGAACATTCTAACTGCATATTTGTATAGAGAAACAAATCAGAGCATACACACAGTACAGCGCACCGTATTTGTAGTGCTTTCAAGCCGACGATCGGATAATGACTTTTTTCCTACCCAATAAAATGTTAACCATGGTAAATACATCTAAAAATAAACTGTGTATCATGTCCTCATATGCATTTCGGCCAGCTGCTACTAACGCTGCTGAGCGAACAAATTGTATAAAATGTGTGCAACGTCTGCTATATTTTTTTTTCTCTCTTTCATCCATCGTCCAGTGGATTCCATCCAATTTAATTCTACTAAGCAGATTATCCAGAGGCTCATAAACCTATAGCCACTACCACCACCGCAGCAGCCACCATTGCGTTACCATTTTCCATTCCACATTGTCACTCACTTTAAGGTCTACTTTATATGTTCGGCGCGCGTGTGTGTGTGTTTGTACACCGAAGCAAAAATTAATTCATTTAAAATTTATGATGTTCAAAATGAGGCCTGTTTCTCGGCGTGCACTAACTGTTCAAATAAATTACAAAAATATTGTTCGAGAAGTTTTTTTGCCTCTTTTTGCGCAAATATAGGGAAAAAATAGGGAAAAAATAGCAACCCCACTTATTATCTCCTTTTTTACCCATTTTCTCGTGGCACGTACGCAATTCTCTTAGTTTTTAATTTGTATAATAAATACGTATCAAAAGTTGGTGTGTATGCCCGTGTTTAAACTAATTTAAAACTTAATGTTGTTAATATTTGCATGCATATATACACTCACGTAGCAAATGAGCATCAGCAACACATGGACCCTACCACAAGACGGCTTTACCGTATTTTATCGATTTTTTCGTGATAAAATCTCTTGGTACGAAGCGGATGCTGTGTGTCAGTTCCACCACGCAAACTTAGTTACAGGTAATGATTTTTCATATTTAAAAATATATGCATTATTTTTGCTCCTGCCATTTATTGAGTGGCTATTTTGAACCTTCTATGCCCAACAACAACAACAGTGGCCAAAATATGAAGGAAAAAAACGTAATAAGCGAGTGAGAGAACAAACACAGATACAAGTGCACAGATACAGTATGCTATGAAATGTGCTATCAATATACTTGCAGTAAATTAACGTTAGACGCGCGCTCTCTCTTTTATCGTCGACAAACTTTCGAATCGTGCTTGTGATAACATAATGTGCGGATATTTTGCATAAATTTTAAAAGCAAACAACTGTTTCGTCGCTACGGACGGACTCAATTTGATGAAAATCACCCACCCTTATACCACTCAAGAATCTAGATAACGGAAAAAAATGTTCTCACTTGAACATTTTCCTGTAAATCGCTTTATCACAAACGAAAATTGCTTTGCAAATTCATTTATTGAGCATGGACAGGAGAAAAAGAAGATGAAATGAAAAATTATAAATTGTAAATTCCACCATTTATTCTTGGAACGATTCACATGAAAAGAATGAAAAATATTCACTGAAATTGAAAATGAAAAATAAATGAATGGAACGAAACAAATCGAAATATAAATTGCATGTTCAGCGAAAAGTTCATAAACATCAACATTTTATGAAATTTGAATGTGTCCAGTTCAGAAAAACGGTCTCATCTGCTCAAATTGTCATAATTTATTCATACTGTATGCATTTCATTTCACAATTTCGACCATTTCCCACCTAAACAAATTTATACGGTATTGTTCAATGAACTAGAAATGTCCGAGTAATTATTCATTTTTGCATTGCAATTCGTTATTTAGCCGAATAAGGTGTAATGGAAGTGATAAAATCAATGTTTGATGTTTTCAATGGAAATGTGCACGGTTTTGTCGCAAGGGCGGTTGAGGCTGTTGATGTTTTTTTCATTCACATTAAATGTTAATACAACAATCTTTTTATGTTTTATTTGCATACCAATTTGAAACACGTTTTTCAATGCATTGCAAATTTTATCGAATTTTTTGTTTATGCCAATAATGCTGTTGCTGCTGCATTGACGCTTATATATCTTTTCAATCATGAAAAAAATGAGAAGCGATTCAAATGAAATCACATGAATATTTCAATTTTCAATAAAACCTGCTTTTTAATTAATGAAAATTGCTCTTTTGTGCTGCTGTTGCGATTTTTTTGTTCGTTCTGTTTTCATATATACAGTTGATAATGGTGTCAAATACGATGCAAGCCGAGCATATTTGAGTGATTTAAACGTGACAGAAAATGTATGGATTGGATTGATGAGATCTCAGAATTCAGATCGTTTTATGTGGTCGTAAGTTAAAAAATCGATTTTAAATTTTTAATTTGTTTATGTTTTTGTGCACGAGTGCAGATGAAAAATGTGAATGGCACTCATTTGTTCGAATTGTTTATTGTACTTTGTCGCATAGGAATTCGAAAATATTGGATCGTGAATTCGGCAACTATTGGGCCGAACAAATTCCGGCCATTGATTCGCCGTTGTGTGCGGTTGTTGACCCAACAAAAGACTATCGTTGGCATAGTTTACGCTGTGGTGGACCCGATGTAGCAGCATTCTTGTGCGAAATGGAGGGTTTGTATACGTATTATATGTAAATACTGTTTGCTCTGTACTGTTTACAATTTGTATTTGCATTTTCAATTTAAATTTATATTGAGCATACAGGGAAAAAAATGTCATCCATATACATACGTCTATATAAATAAATTTCTATTTGTAGCGCCTGAATGGGCTTCGGAATGTTTAATTCGCGCATTACCATCGCTTCAAATTCAATATGTTGCCGATAGTGCAACGATTGAGCTATCACGCGATTGTGGTGGTGCCGAGGGAATTAAGCGTTTAACATGCAACGGTAAACAGGATCAGGATGTGATTCAACGTGAATTACTATGCCGCTCGGAACGTGCAAGTTTTACAAGTGACAATGAAATGAAAGCGGCTGCCGAAGAGTTGCCATCGCAAAATATTATTGAAATGATGACATTGGCTTCATCTCGAACCGACAACATGGAAAACAATAATATTGATAAAATTGCAAATCAAATTGAGGCATCTGTTGAAGTTGACAACAAATTCAATTTGGATGAAATGATGATGGGCGATGCAGCCGCACAAGATGATGATGTCAAACCGGTAAAGAATGCAAAGAAATTCACAAATTCAGAAAAACCATTGAAAAATCAACCGAAACAAATGAGAAAAACAAAAAGCGACGAGAGTAACGGTGATGATGTAATGATGGGTGATCAACCAGACTCTTCCGCCAATTCTGCTGAAGATAATTTCAAAAATGCCAAAGAAACTTTTATAACAACACCAAAAAATGTGGTGGAACTGCAACGAACAACGATTGAAATGCGAAACCGACGTGAAACGGAAATTCCAGTCAACATTTCCGCCACAACCGAATCGAATATCCAAACGGAAACTGAAGTGATGCATTTACCCCACAAGGAAATAGCGCGTGATCATTTCATTCCACCGATGTTACTGGTGCAACATCAAAATTCAACGGAAACACCACTACTATCATCAACAAATGGTCAGGAATTAGATGCATCCAGTGCAAATTCTACATCACAGGTAAATGATCAAGAGATTTTAGCATCTTCTACGCAACAAACACCAGTGCCAACAACAATCGCCAACGACGTGACTACAATCAATTCAAGTAATGAAACATTATCCACTACAGTTGTAAGTTCTTCTTTTGCACCTAATGCGAGCACAACAAACTCATCCGAATCAACTACTGTTTCGACGACAACATCCGTTCAAATACCTCATGAATATCCCAAATCAAATATGATGCGCCCACATGCACCGAAATTTGGTGGTGAAATTTCTTATCATGCACCACACATTCCAACGACCACTACCAAAGCTCCGACTGATTTTATACAGGCAAACGATTCAAGCATTGCCATGGAAACGATAAATTCAACAGAAACAACAATTACCAGTGAAAATGTTACGATTTTATCATCCAATTCATCAGTCAAATCAACTGAAATAGTCATCGATGCAGCAACGCAATCGATTAACGAAACTTTTACCGAAGCTCGTCATTTGGAAGTGGCAAAACGTAGCAATTCGCTTGTTGCTATCGATAAACATCAACACAATCATGAACAGCAACATGAAACGGATTCACATAAGCGAATCAATGAAACAAAGCATGCAGATTTCACAAACGCTGAACTTGACTATCAAAACTTCAAACCGAATCGCAAACGTATTCTTACCAAACCCGAAACGCACACTTTTATTCAAAAGGTTTTCGGTTAAATGCGCATGGAGAAAGAAAAAAAGAATCTATGTTTGTGTATTGAGATATGAGAGAATCACAAAGAAACATTTGAATTGTTCGATTATGGGCGACCGCATTTTGATGAAGGGTAAAAGAAACTAAATTTATACATTGAATGGCTTGATGCGAGCATTGTCGAATCCTAAATCTTTCAATTCCTTTATTATTAAAATAAATACATATACCTCAAAAAGTTCAATCTAACTGATTATGTGCAATAGCACATCGAATACAGTTGCTTCTCTATTCAATTTCAGTGTGCAAATCAGTGTCAGTCAATCGTCAAGAATGTGTCAATTATTATGTTTGAGAATTTCTATTTGAAGCGCTGTCCCCACTCACTCAGCCACAATGCCACAATAGAAGAGTATGTTTCTTTTACAAATAAGAAATGATTGTTGTGATATACATAATGAGAAGAAAGTCTCATAGATTTTAACCCATATGAGGAATAAATATATTGCACCAATTTCAGAAATTAAAAAAAAATGATTGGCTTTGATTATGTCTTTCATTCATTTAAATATCTTTCAATTAAAAAAAAGAAATCATCGAAATTCGTCCCTTTTGAAAAAAATATATAATTTATTGATTGTGTAGTTTTAAACAATTTTAATCGTTTTTGTCGATTTGAATTTTTATTTATTAAATAAAATTGAGTTGACCGTGTGTCATATGCGACACAATATCGTTTGAATATGGAAATATAATTACAGCACATTCTTTTTTATCGAAAAATGCTTAATTATGCTACCAAAAAAAAGAAGAATATAATTGAACTTCAGTCAGTTTTGAATAATTATTAAAATAGAGAGCACACATGTAATAAAATCTTAAACTGATATTTATTCAAAATAAAACTTAATAAAGTTTCAACCATGAACAAATGAGAATGAGTTTTTTTCTTCTTTTTCATTGCATTGAATTTATATGCCGTAAAATGACTCTTTTCGCTGTTCGGAACGAGTTCCGGATTTCCCGCACACAGCCAATAAACCAATTTTTAAACATTAATTGATATTTCCTTTGAAGTGGAGCATGGAGACGCCACAGAAGCCATCGTTAACGCTTTTATGCGAGGTAAACGCTTCTTGTAATAAAATGCACAGTTATTTGCATTCTTATTGCGCATTTTATTTTGTTGCAGAAATTAAAATCAAGTACAACGACTTTCAATGTAAAAACAATAAATTTTATTCATTGGCACGAAAATAAAGTTGTTGTTTTCTTTTGTTGATATCGTGTTTCCCTCTCTCTGCTAACGAATTTTCCCAACATGTCAAAATCTAACAAATGCGATGCGACATAATGCGCAAAATCACTTTCTCGTTTTCGAAGATAAATAAACCAATACATGCACACATACTGTGTCTCTTGTTTCCACTCTTCTGTATGAAATTGTAAACAGACAATTTAACCCAAGTAGCAAACCTTCTGAATTTGGACACTTTTTGATTTCAAATGATGAAAAATATATTTTTCTTCCAATTTTATGGAAAAATTTTATGTTAAATTTTGCAAGCATTTCGTCATTTCAACTAGAAATTGGAAATTGAAAGCATACACAGTCCATATAAAACTGCACACACATACTAAAATCATACAAATTGCATCACAAAGAAAACAGCTGTGTATGATAAAAACGCCAACATAACAACGGTGTAGGTAGTTCCCCACGTTTGAAAATTTAGTGTGTCACCACATATATACACACAGAACCTACGACAGAGCGATGTATAAATAGCATTGTTGGTGAGTGGAAAATATGCCGCGCGCGAGCTTTCCGTGTGTTTATTCTGTGTTTTGCAGCTCGAGCAAGCGAGCGACAGTACGAAGTTGAATGATATTCGAGTTGAGTTTTTTTGTTGGTTATTTGGCGCTCTACTCCTTTACGATGCATCAATCGTAACAACAAAGTTCAGTGTGCTTTTGTGCGTGATAGCCCACGCATGTGGGGTGCACGCAATTTCATTTTAATTTTTGTTCCAAGCAAACAAATTTTTCATTTTGTGCGTCTCAATACAAATTACTGAAAATAAATAGAAAAAAAAACAACAAGTGAAAGAGCATTTTATTTAAGTCGCACGATAGCCCAAAAAAAAGTATACAGTTTAAGTTAGATTTTCTACAAATATATAACCAATTATTTTTTTTTTGATGTATTAAACCACGAAACGCAGCGAAGTAAAAGTGACGACAACCGTGGCTACGCAAAAGGTATATATCGATTTGTTTAATCGAGTGTTGCAAAGTAATATGTCGCATATGAAAAAAAGAATGAATGTCTTTATACGTTCGAGGTGCGTATCAAAAGCCATCTAAATTGTGTTGTGATGTGAAAAAAAATGTCTTTATTATATTAAACGAAAAAAGCAAAAAGTCCACATCATTGACCAAAACGACCATTTTTTATCGATATTCAAAACCTTGACATATATTTATTTATGCATTTTATTATTGACTGTGTACAGTGTACACACAATTTATCAAATGGGGAACAATAAATATCGATCTTTCGCATTAAAATCAATTTATCCCAATGCGTTTGTTCACTTTGTTTTCATCCATCGCAATATACAAATGCGAAGTATTCATTTTCTATCCGTCTCATTTTGCAGAAAGACATCAGCTGTGTGTGTTCGTGCTGCTTCATATTATTATTATCATTATTATTATTACTATTATTACAGCAGCAGTAGACACTCCATTTCATTGTGTCAGTTCTAGCTTCACAAAGAACCCCCTTTGGGAGAAGGGTAAATAGAATTTGTAGTGCGTTTTATTTTCTTCGTTTACTGTTGCTTGTTATTGTAATTGTATTGTGTGTATGTGACGGAGTAATCACGTGTAACTAAGCACATTGCTACAGAGCATCAGATGTGTGACATACACGAGTGTAATACTGTTATTTTTTGTGTTTAACATTTCTATCTATTGGTGAAATCAATGAGCCATCTTTTAAATGAGTTGACATTGTTGTCACAATTTGAATTCAATTTCAATAATTGAATGTGCACGTGAAAGAATCAAAAGATTGAGTTTAAACGAATGTACAGAAACACGTGCCGATGTAGGGTCGATGATTGCTATGATCTATTTTCTAATCGCACAAACATTTTTTATTCTATTAACAGACTGTTTTTTTTAATTCGAAATTTCGTTTTTGCGCAAAATAAACTCTGTGGCGCTCACACATATGATGACGACGTTCTAAATTTAGTTTTGATTTTTCGGAATAATAGTTCACTTGTCAGCACTTGGCATCCATCCATTGAGCCAATGTGATTCTTGACATATAAATAAAACATATAATTTGCTGTGCATGATTCAGCAAGAATGTGTGCGAGTGTAATTAATATCAGTCTGTGAATTTGTTTTACTGTGTAGAAAATAAAACGACGCAAAATCGTGCGAAGAAGATCTTTTTCCGAACGCCATTTTTATATAGTTTATAAATAACCAACGAATAAAAGTCTGTGGGACGCATACTTTTCCATTCATTAAGTGCGAGTTTGAATTTTTATGGAAATTATGCTTTGCCATCGACAACGACTACAAGAGCTGTTTCAGATTCTTTTTATATTCACAACATTTCGAAGGCTTGCCATTTCGAAATTGAGAAAAGCTTTTTGTTCAGCATAGACTGCCAACTTCAGTCAAATGTAATTGTATTTATCAAAAAGCCAATATTTTAAACACAATGTTATGGAAATTGAAAAGACGAATGGCGTCAATGATGGAAATTGTTTAAAATCAATCGATTCCAATTCCAATTTTCAACAAAATACCAACGAAATCAATCAAAATTAATGGCTCGTTTTTGGCATTTTAAATTATTGATAAGCATATGATAATTTTCCGGTTCAACAAATCGTTGTTCGGAATCGGCTTGCAAAACGATTTATCTTCAGTAGAGACGGAAAATTCCATCGTTGAATTCAATCCATTTAAATAAATCCATGGATCGATACGTTCTTATTTCGGCGGACTAAGTTAAGTAAACGTTTCAGGCAATTTACGTCATGATTTTTCACTTGGATACACTTGGAATAAAATACTTATTCAACAGATTGATTTGTTCGCTTCATTTCCAATGGAAGCCAATAAATGTTTTCATTTAATGTCAGAAAGTTCTCGCAATCAGGTTACAAATTCGATTTCCAATATACAGCAAAAGCACATTAAAACGAAATGTACAACCGTTTGATTAGTAGTTTTATCGGCAGTTGCATTTATATTTGAAAAGTTCCAAAAACGGGTAACGTAAAAACGTAAAAAGTATTCAATTTAAAATAAAAGAAGTTTGAACAACGACAATAAAACAGCAACTTTGATGGATGTGTTTGTGCAAATCGATTTCGATTCAAGCACGAAATGCAGCTGTTTGAACTTCATTGCGCGCACACATCTCGTGCTCCTATTTATATTTCACGGCTTTGATGCAAAATTAAAAAAAGAAAAAGAAAAGCCGAACTGAATTACACGCGAGGATATTGAAAAAAGGTGCTTTTGTGTTTTTTTTTTCACCGTAAACGTATGACGCAGACAGAAAAAGAAAAGAGTTTTTTTCTCTTTAGCTTGCTGTTTGAGCGCCATTCTTCATCAAATTTTTCATTCGTTTCAGCATTTCCTTTGGGATATTGAGCACACACATCTCTCGATACACAATGAAATCTCATTTCAACAAGGCCATAGCTCATTGTTTATTCAAATGCATATATTTTCATTCTTTGTTCAATTCCATTTTTGTATTTCATTTTTAATTTTGCGCGACGCGCGAAAACGGAAATCAAATGTCGTCATGATGATAAATCGAGATGATGTCAAGTCCTAATTAAATTCAAAATATCTCAGTAGCTCACGGCGAGTGATTCCCCAGGCTTGGCTCGCATTTCATTTGACCGCAATTAATCGCTGATAATGTGGCTTGCTTATCGCTAGACTGTTTTTATATTCAGTATGATTCGCCGATTTTGACGAACAAAGTACAGACTAATAATAAATTAAAATTTGACTTGAAACCAGTTTTAGAATAAATATAAATTCATATTCAACCGAAATTTACACTTGGCATTTACATAGTTAGACAGTTTGGAAACCAGTTCCAAATCCAATCTTAAATTCACAACATTTTTCTTGACTTTTAGGTGTTCGTAATTTTTGGGGCACAAATTCGTCAGAATTGATCACACAGTGAAGCTCTTACGCAGGAAAAAAGAAAAAACAAGTATTAAATACTGCACAATTTTAATAATGTGGGTTGAAATTATGTGCTCGACCGACTAGATGTCTATTAAATTTATGTTCAAATCGAATTGGAGTACGTGTTGAATCTATAAATTATGTATTGCAAATAAAGCCGGTATAAAATGTGTCACAAAAAATCCCAGATAAAAAAGCGCAAACGATGAATAACAACTGTTCGCATTTAAAAAAAAATGTATAGCCTGATTCATTCTTCAAACAATGTTCAATGAACGCAATATTCTAAATACAGTAGTGAGTGTTAATGAAATAGCAAAAAGCAAAGTACAAATGAGTGTATGAATAACATGAGCTAGTGACCTTCAACTTTTGCACATTTTACTCCCTTTAACGACATATTACAGTAAAAAAAACATTCTTTATCAATTGTTAGAGAAGACTCCAAAGCGAGCAACATTTAAAGCAAAAAAGGCGCGCGCGCACACATTTTGTAAGTAAGTTATTATGCATACATGTATTAATCATGAATGAGTAAATGTCAAAGCAACGCGTACTTATAGTAGTACATACACGCTACGTATGATTGGGCGCTTGAAACGCACCGACGCAAATGTGTGACGATCATTCGCATCGAACCGATATGTGAACAATTCATAAACGACGTAAACGACAAGAAATAGACAGAAACATACAAATAACAAAGTCTGAGTATACCGTACTGACGAATGTAATTTTCGTGCGTGCATTTCAGTAACATTCAAGTAGAGACAATCATGCCCTACACATCGTAGAGAAACAACAGCAGCAGCAACAACAACACGTTATACACACTACACAGATTCATCCTCCCGGGATTCACATTTTCAATTCGCTCAATTTTATTTCCATCGTCGAGTTTTTGATGTCTTTTAGTGTTAAACTGTAACGTGACTCTAACGGTGGTTTAAGTTTTTTTGTGATTAATATGGACACATTTCTTCAAAGTAATTTTATATGTGTGTTACGATTCGTAACTTACGAATGAGATAAAATTCGTTTTGTTTAGTGCATCCAAAAAAAAACTAAGCACATGTAGAAAAACCGGCGAATAAAAAATGGACGTGTTGAAAATTAAGTAGTTCAAGAAAAAAAAGAGTTAATTAAAACAAGAAAAATCGTGGAAAAAAACTAAAGCGCAGTGAAAAGTAGCAACGTCACTCGTTTTTATCGTTTGAGAAACGTAATTGGTGACAGCAATTAAGATAAAGACGAAGAAACTCAATAGATATAAACTGCAAAAATGGCGCACGGTGGCCCATCGAAGCGTAAATCAAACAGCAACATCAATGACAATAATGACGAAGATGAACTTTCTATTCCACCCCCGGATGGCGGTACGTGCCAAAGGAGAGAGAGTCAGTGATGGTAGCTTTCTAATCACATATACCCTTTTTTCAATTTCAGGTTTTGGATGGATTGTTGTTATTGCAAGTTTCTTAATTCACATTATAAGTAAGTATAACTGCATCTGAATGTATCAAACTCAATTTTCCACTTTGCAATCGATGTCAGATAATCGCGTATAGTGGTTTTGTTATTTATTTTTCATTATGCATATACTGCGAATCCATAGGAGGTTTTGATGACTTATTATTTTCTCTTTATCTCAGTTCATGTGTCAAGGATGTGGTTCAATAAAGATAAAAACATACAATTTCTTACATCAAATGTTGAACAAAAAACTTTTTCTGATTTAAAAGACCATTCAAGGATGCATTAAATAAGAGTCGATCTGAATAATGTTGACTTTTATTGAATGCTTGTTATTTTTTAATTGCATACTCATTCCATTCAACTTCGTCTGCGGTTAAATTAATAACAGATTGTTTTGAAACTTTCTGATTTTTTGCCATAAATTTTGTTGAAAAGTACTAACTTTTTTCTTTCGGTTGCTAAAGTAAAGAAAAAATTAGCGAAAACAAATTAATTTTCACCATGTCATTTGCCCTTATATTATTTGCCTCCATCATGGAATGAATGAACTAAATTTCAATGATAATGAACAATATTCACTTCTTTATTGCTCATATGGAGATAATGTGCCTTCTCAAAACAAAATGAGTTCTTTTGTAATCACCATATTTATGTTCTTTTTTTATCACACCCGTCACCATCCCATCCCATTCATCATATGAGTTATTGTTATTGAAATTTTGCTGTTGAACTATAGTCAACACATATCGTTTCTATCGATAACGTATTAGCACACATTGGAAGTTGCACTTTGAATTTGACTCGATCGAATAACAGAAGTTAAACTGTGCCAATGGGATGAATAATCGACGACGGATCAAATATCAACAAATTTCACTTCCATCAATCACTTATGCATTACAATTTGCTTTTGGCACTATAATGTGTTTAGTTGGCATATAATGAATATGTGGTAATTTTGAATAGAAAGAAAAAAAAAACAGCGCAAAATGAATATTCATTGAGCGATATAGTGGGTATTTCACAACTTGGTTATGGCAGAAGGCCAATAACTACTTGTTTTATTTTTGAAAATATTGTGTATTTTTATCATTCGGAAAACAACAAATTGGCTTCCACACGACAAAAACATGCAATGTAAACAAATGAATAATCATTCAATTAAACGACACATGCCTTGCGATATGCGTCTTTGATTTTGAAATCGATCATTTCAATTCGAATGTTGATTGTTCGGAAATTAATTAAAGTACCATTTGATTGATGTGGTTTGCCGAGTATTGACTCCGAAAGAGAGCATGTCAACAATAAGTTCATAATTTGAACGATTTGTGTCTGTGATGGGTTGACTATTAACTCTAATCAACAATTGACAGCATGGAATCGAAGTTATTATTTCATGTTGCATTTCAAAATAGACAAGACACATTTGAAGAGGTTAAAAAGCATCTTCATGGATGAAAGCAATGTACAAAGTACTCACGACAAGAATATAGATAAAAAGCAAACTCATGAATACACAAACCGAGTAGAAGCAGTTTGTGAAACCATGATTGCACTACATTTCATGATTCAAACAAATTAACAAAAGAAATAAAATTCACGGTTTACTGTAACGTTGTACAGTCATGCTTGAACGTTTACAACTTCCCTAAGAACGTCATTCTAACAATGTAGAAATTAATTTTTTTCCTCTTTTCTCTTAAATCACATTTTTAATTTCAATTATAAATCGCAAAATAACATGAGACGATGTGATTGAATCACTCAGTCTCTATCACGTTAACTCGACAGTTTGACGTTTTATATACACACGAAAAAAAAAACTATCAAATAACATATGGATAACTAGTATTTACTGGCATTTAATTCTCTGACTAATGGATTAAACTTTAAGTCACACGATGCTTTGATTCTCGTCACATTCCAAAATCACATGTCCACTTAAATTTTGCTCGTATTTCACACTGTGTGACAAAAACAAAAACAAATTCCATTAGAGAGAAAAAGAATCATACACGCACGTACATAATCCACTTTAACTAGAATAGCGAAGGCGGCAGCTAGCTCACAAAATTCTATTTTTTACAATCAATTCAAGTGACGGCGGAAACCGTTAATGGTGCGTTATCACCATTTTTGGAGTTCTATCATTTATTTGACGCGTTGCCAAGTGCACAAAAAATCGATCGTAAAAATGACCAAAAATGGCCTTTACATTTCATTATGAATAATTGACCTTTACGATAGGATCGCTTACAGTGCAGTACACCTTGAAATGTGCGGTTTTCTCATTACATTGAAGAATTTTCGTAATTTATCTAGCCATTAAATAGGATTCAAATCATAAATCAATTTGAAACTATATCAGGGCAATATGGAAGCAAACATCGAATAAATGTTTCTCTTTTTTTTGTAAAATAAACGAGTATACATATAGAATTATTGTACTTTGCTACGTTGTTTAATTCGTGACGGTTGAGTATCGTGGCTTAGTAATTTATCAATTTTAATTCAATTATCACAATGCGAAGCATGCCCACTGTTTTGAAAGACTGCAAAACAAATGAATCAACAGCAAAGCAAATTAGGAAGAAATATTTGTGAGGCGCCATACTAAGGCTTATTGTGTAGCAAAAAAGAAATGAATGAACCAAAATCAACTAATCAGCATAAAACCGTCTCACAGATGAAAACATTTGATTGATAATGCGTCAATTAATTTGTACGTCTTGATTATTTATCTTGTGCGCTATAAAGACGATAAACCGAAAGTTTACCTTGACTCTTGAAATGAATTTTTACAGATTTATTTCCCTTTTATAGTTAGTCGTTTACCTGACTATCATTTTACTGCATATTTCTATTTTTAATGAATATATTGACCCATTTGGCGAACAAAATTTATTACACCTCGTAAAATCCTTTTGTAGAAATACATACATTTTTGCATAAATATTACTATTTTTAATGATATCATTTTGTGTTTCCTATTTCACAGCCGATGGCATAACGTAAGTAAAAGAAAACGACAACATTTAATTTCAATGAGCAAACAGTTAATTTTCTTCAACTATTGCTTTTCAGCTATTCATTCGGAATTATATATTTAGAGCTGTTGGATGAATTCAAAGCCGGCAAAGGCTATACCTCGTGGATTTTGAGTCTTATGAGCGGAATGACCCTGTGCTCAGGTAAAATAAGCCAACATCTATTTCTATGCTATGATTTTGTAACAAGAGATTACGTTTCAGGTCCGATAAGTTCGTCATTCGTTAACAAGTATGGTTGCCGTGCTGTAACAATAGCTGGTGCGATACTCGCTGCAGCTTGTCTTCTTATTAGTGTTTATGCACAAAATGTACTCACGTTGATTATAAGCATCGGGTTTGGTGTCGGCTGCGGCCTCGGTCTCATCTATCTACCGGTAAGAGTGCTACTCAACTTACATCAAAATCGTGTCTCTTCACATTTAATTAAACTGTTGGTTATTTCACAGGCTATCGTTAGCGTGACGACGTATTTTGAGAAATATCGTTCGGTTGCTACTGGAATAGCAGTTGCTGGTAGTGGTTTGGGGACTTTTTTGTTTGCCCCGCTGATAGCTGTTCTGATCGGTTCATATGGTTGGAGGGGGACCTTGTTGGTGTTATCGGGAATTGTTTTGAATTGTGCTGCATTCGGTGCATTGTTTCGACCATTAACTGCATCCAGTACACGGCAAATCGCTCCAGCCGAACAAAACGATACATGTATGTTCTAACTCAAGTACACTTTCTAGTGCAGTGATTTGATTTTTACATTTCTTTTTGCGATCCAGATCAACGGGAACAAAGTTATGAAGTTGAATCTCTACAAAGTGGCCATCAAAATGGGCATGGTCATTTGAAACGAAAGCCACGAACAACATCGGTTCGCGTACCAAGCGTGAATGTCATTTCAGAAGTTGGAGACGGCGTTCAAATGACACGATCACAGAGTGTTGGACATAGCATGGCCATTGAAACGACAAACAACTACGATTCAAATAAACTACTCAATGTAAATTATTGCAATGGACGTCAAGAGAATGGCATCGGCGGCACTATGAAGTCTACAAATCATAATGGCAAATCGGACGGCATGCGATACACATTAAGTCAACCATTACTAATTCATTCAACATCCGATTCCGATCACGAAAATAAACCACTTAAAGAATCACATAAGCACTGGCGTAGCGGAACTCTTTCGCGGCCAGACATTTTCTACCAGGCAAGAACTCCAATCAATTTTCTTTTGTTCCAATGCAAGATGTTTACGTTCATTTTCAGCACGAGTAGACTTAAGTTTGGTTTCGAAAGAGGCAAAGTTAATTTATTAATTGGACCGGAAAGTGCATGAGTTTGAGACATGTATCATTGCAATTGTTGACACGGCCAATGTAATTGATTAACACTCAACTGACCGTTATGGCCTGAGAGAGTGTAGCAATGATAACGATTTTAATTAAAAAAATTGATATTGTTAAAATTGATTTCGACATCGCATCATTTACACAAAATATATTTCTCAATTCGTTTTCGAATTGTGATAACTTCGAATCGTCATTCAATACCATGAACTTTTTTCGCTTTAAGTGAAAATATCAATTTTTATACTCAGAGTGAGCGTCCTCATAAAATGACAATTTGAACGCGTTTTCAATTGTTTTTACTGAATTAAAATTTTAAATCTATTATCAGCAAAAAAAACTGCATCATTTTAATTAATCTCTATTTTATTTGCTTCTTTACAGGGATCGCTTTATAACATTCCTAATTATAAGTCACATACCGAGTTGCCAACCGATGCAGATAGATATGGTTCACTTCGACGCGTGAGCGAAAATGATGTGAGTTCCACATAAATCTTAACGCAATGAAAAGAAATGAATAATAAAATTTGTGTTTTTTTTCTTTGTTGCTGCAGGAAATATCTTCAAATGGTGTATGCTGCGGGTGCATACCGGCAGACACACGTGAAAGTTTTCTCGAAATGATTAACTTCTCTTTGTTTAAGGATCCGATTTTCGTTCTATTCACTGTATCGAATTTTGCCACTAGTTTAGGTTTCTATGTCCCCTATTTTTGTTTAGCTGATCAAGCAAAAGATTTGGGATTGTCCGAAGGAGATGGAAGCTATTTGCTTTCCATCATTGGTGTATTTAACACATTTGGTCGTTTAATTTTGGGATACATATCCGACAAATCTTGGGTTAACCGCCTTTGGGTCTACAATGTATGTCTCGTTATTTGTGGTGTTGGTAAGTTCTTGGAATCGATTTTCTTTCAAATAAAATTCAAATATTGATAAACATGATTTTTTCTTTCTTTTCATAGCTACTGCTGCTTCAGTTTTCTGTCTAGATTTTCAAACACTTGCCATTTATGCTGCTGTGTTTGGTTTTACCATTGGGGCATATGTCGGTTTAACATCGGTCATATTGGTCGATTTACTTGGACTGGATAAACTCACAAATGCATTTGGTTTGTTGCTATTATTTCAAGGCATTGCCACATTTCTTGGGTCTCCAATCGTCGGTTTTCTTTATGATCAATCGCATTCGTATACGCCTGGTTTCATATTTGCTGGTTTAATGATTGCTGTCAGCGGACTTATATTGTTCTTCATCCCGGCAATGCAACGATACGAAAGACAACGGCATCACTCTACAGACCAAGCTGAAAACGTGATAGCATCGTAGTTTTAAACTCCGTTCGAAAGAAAAGTAACACTATTTTTTAGTTTTTAAGCATTAAATCGAAATGAAAAAAAAAACCAAAAACAAAAGAAAACGATTCTTAAGAGCCAATTTCTGATTTTTATGTATATATACAAATATATTATCCATAAAGAAATTTGCTTGCAAAATTGTCACAGTTACATCGAACAACCGTTTGTATATTTATGTGCGTGGCTCTTTAAGTTAACTGCAAATTTCTTTATGAGAATCGAACGTTTGAAAAGGATTTATGCTACTAAGCTTCCGTTTAGTATAGACTGTCGACTGTGATCGAAAAACAAAAACAGAAACTATTTGTGTATATGTTAACAGAATAAAACTAAAAAGCACAATATAAACTTCCTGCAAATCGGAAACGTTCAAGACCACCCCGCAGATGATGATCTTCATTCGCTTTTATCTCACTTCTATTCTTTCTAATTCTTTCTTTTGATTAAATCAATTTGGTACAAAGTTCATGATTCAAATCAATTGTCGATAATAATCCTCTGTCCAAAGTAATATCAAATAGTTAACGGAAACTGAGATGTATTTTCTTCTTTATGTATAACGATTGCCTGCATGAAATTGAGTCTGTATGAATGCGATGGTCATTTTATTTTGTCAAAATATAACTGGTCGAAACAAATATAATAGTTTTTATCTATGCGAATCTATTAAACACCCACTTTTTGGCGATAGAAATTAGTCTTTCAAAGTGTATATTGTATGTATGTATTTAAAGCATCGATTCGCTATACAAAATCGATGAATATCTTTTTTTTTTTTTGAAACAATTACATAAAATGTTCGTCATTTAATTTCATCTTAAATTCAAATTCAAATTGATATGAAATGACCAGAATGAACAGCATAGCTAGACTGGCCAAAGGATTGATGATATCAATTTATTTAAGGAAAATTGTTTGTAATTTTATATCTGGTCCAACTGCGCAACTCTTTTTAAAACGAGAACTATTTTATTGTGTATTCTGTACGTTAATACATGTTTTCTGATTTTAATCATTTACAAAAAAAATGTTTATTTTCATTCAAAGAAAAAGGAGATTACGAAAACGACGAAAAGGTAACGTATCACTATCATAGTAATTTAATGAAATAGCAAAAGTCTTTGGAGACTCAATTACCAATAGAAATGTTATACAACCTTTGGTACTTTACTCTAAAGGTATCAACGGAAACCTTCTTTTTGTCCGTCCGTCCGAAATGAACTCTTTGGACGGATGGGAAAATCCAGCCCCTGCACACAAAAAAATATATTTTCAAAACTAAACGATATTCCATCTTATTTCTGTATTTAGATGACAGTTCGTTTAGTTTTAGTATTTTTCATCTAGTTTGCATTTGAAGTAACCATTTTTAGTATTCTCTTTTGTGCGGATCTTCTTCGGTTGTGTGTTTTTTTGAAATCGATTGGTAACTCATACATCCCAAAACATAACCGAAGAAGATACACACAAAAGAGAATACAAAAAATCTTTACTTAAAATGCAAACTAGATGATAAAATACTAAAACTAAACGAACTGTCATCTAAATACAAAAATAATATGAACTGTCGTTTAGTTTTGAACATATATTTTTCTGTGTGTAATGTCTGCTCAAATTTTAATCCTATTGTACAATAATAGAAATTATCTGTTAAAGGTAATCTAACTAATCAGACAGCTTATAAAATGTGTAACAGATTAAAATTGTGAAGTTAAAAGCACGAAGATTATTATGTGATAAGACCTTTCGATAGACTCAGGTATTGTTCAGATGAAAAATATTATTGAACGGAATATTACTTGAGATGGCAAACGATGTTAGTTGTTCAAAACAAAAATCAAATGAAAACGTTAAAAATAATGAAAATTCCATGGACAGTAGCTGGAGTTGGATGATTGTAGTTGCGGCTTTTTCTTCGAATACAATTAGTAAGATATTTTTTACGTATTTTTAATAAATTTTTTTAGTTTTCGATTCGTTTAAGGCGATGGAATCCTATATACAATGGGTATGATTGAGGAAGAATTGTTGGTGGAATTCAATGAAAGTAAATTACTAACATCGTGGGTTCCATCGATCGTTTCTGGCATGCAATTATGTGGAGGTGATTTTATATTTCATAAAACTTCATTCAAAACAAACAACCTTTAACGACTTTTGTTTTCCGAAGGACCGATTGCATCGCAGCTTATTAATAGATACAGCTGCCATACAGTTGCTATTATAGGATCATTGTTGAGTGCAATAAGTTTTCTAATCAGCGCTTATGCACAATCAGTATTCGCACTTATTATTATAATTGGTAAAACTTCACATACGTCTCTTATTCCGTTCATATTTTTACACGTATGTTTTGATATCACGGTTGTATTTCAGGTTTTGGTTCTGGAACCGGATTTTGTTTTTTGTATTGTTCGGTAAGAAAATTTGATTTGAAAAAGGAATTTTGATGTCAAAACAATTGTTTTACAGGCAATCGTTAGTATTGGAATGAATTTTGAAAAATATCGATCCGTGGCAACAGGTGAGCTCTTTTCTCTTTCGTTTATGTATATGATTTTTTATCGCTCAAAGTGCAAATCAATGATAAGAAATTGTAAAAAATGCCATTGATCCTGAATCCTTTCTTTTGTTAGGGATTGCATCTGCGGGTACAGGATGTGGAACTTTTTTATTTTCCCCATTAGTTGCGTTTTTTATCGAAAAATTTGGTTGGCGTAAGACCATGCTTATTCTTTCCGGAATTTTATTAAATTGTGTTATATTTGGCGCTCTATTTCGGCCCCTAAAACGTTCTATGAGAAATCAGGGCGAAAAATGTACAAATCAACATGAAATTTATACCAACCACGCCAATACACTTCACAAAGAGTTGGATCGACCAGAGAATAAGAAGATTGTAAGGATTTTTTTACTAATCGCATTAAAAATGTTTTTTGATCGTTTTATCTGTGTTACAGGAAATCGCATCAAAAGCATACTGTGGATGTAATTTGGCCGAAATATTGAAATCGATTTTTAAATTCATGAATTTTAATCTCTTAAAAAATCCAGTCTTTGTTTTATTGATGGCATCAAGTTTTGTGACTAGTACGTTTTTCTATGTGCCCATTTTTTTATTGCCATCGTATTCAAGCGCACTGGGAATGAAAGAACTTGGTCCTAGTATTTTGATGATAACAGGTATTTCAAATACGTTGGGTCGTTTATTTTGGGGGTATGTGTCTAACAAAACATCGAATCGAATTTGGATTTACAGCACTAGCCTTGTTATTTGTGGCATCGGTAAATAAGTATTTGCAGTTTAATTACAAATGAATCGGTTAGAATATTCGTGAGCTCAAGAAATTTTTTAAATTAAAAGAGCAACATGTTCATATAAAAATGTATGAGCAAGTTGCATTTTTATTTTGACAAATTTCTTGAGGTCACGAATATTCTAGCCGGTTCAAATAAGCTTTGAACATAAATAAGATTTTCGTTTTCTTTTTTCAACAGCAACTGCTCTCTTTACTATTAGCATCGATTTTGTATCGCTTTCCATTTGTTCAGCGGTGTTTGCATTTACGGCGAGTGCATGCTGTGTTTTGAGTTCGGTTATATTGGCTGATTTACTTGGATTGGATCAATTGAATAATGCATTCGGTTTAATTCTGTTTACTGATGTGCTTGGCACTTTTATTGGACCGCCTATCTATGGTATAATCTACGATTTATCAAATGCATATGTTCCTGGAATCATTCTCACAGGCCTTATGATTACTTTTAGTGGTTTTATTCTTTTTTTCGTACCGACATTACAGCGTTATGTCCTAAGAAAACAGTCACGGCTTAATTGTAACCAAAATGAATGACACGAATAAAATTCACGAAATTCGGTTTGAAAACAAAAATTACGTTTTAGTTAATTAAGGCCAGTTCACACGCAAAAATATGATGTGTGGTATGTTTTGTTTGCCACTGACTTAATTTATTCCGGGGTGGAAAAATTACAAATTTCTAGTGAAATAACCAAAACACGACGATAATGACATCTGGGTAACTGGATAACATACCAACTTCATTATGGTTGTCTGTTTTTATGTTAAGTTTACCCAAATTTATTCCATTTTTGGTTTCGCTGGCAAACGCACCAATGGCGCTGCTATCAAGGTTGCTTGTCACCGCTGATGAAAAAAGCTTTGGGCTGATGCAAAACATCGAATTAGCAAACAAATTGCCAACTGTTAACTGACCCTCAGGGACTTTGCTCGATAATAATTTGTCATTCAGAAATGTTCATTGTGAGACCAGATGAACGATCAACCTTTGAAATTTCGTTTACGATAAATCACTCAAAACATTTGCAGAGATTAGATTTGGTAAAAACCATGACATTAGATAATCCTTTAATTGATGTTCAATCATCAAGGTGAAATTTATCATAAATTTTTCATTATAAATTCGCGCAGTCAATTATTTATTATGAGATTTTTTTTGTCTTTTTCCGCTTTCTCGCCATGATTGTATGATTTTAAAGATAGAAAGTGTTTTATTTTGATAAATTAGCGCATCAAGTGCTTCTGATAATAATATTAAAATCAAATCATTCACTCTTATGACATATCAACTTTATTCACGTGATATTCGAACAATTAGGCTTTAATCTGAAATAGATAAGTACAATTGTCTATATCTATTAAGTTGAGATTGTCAATGAAGATTGTTGCATTTGATACAAAAAAAAAATAAAGGCATGATAAAAGCGTCTAGTAAAAACAGCGCACTCAGATAAAATTGATTCATTTTGAGAAAAATACCTCGAAATGGATGTTGACTGTTCAAAGCAAAGTTCGAGCAAAAATACCAAAGATGATGACAGCGTTAAGAATAAAATTCATATTTGGGCTATTTTTATTGTTTTCGCAGCCTTTTTTTCTAACATAATCCGTGAGTTTGTTCGTACTTTAGTTTTGTCTATTTTTCCAATATCAAGCAATGGTTGAGTTTTCGATATTTCAAAAAGTTGACGGAATCATATATACAATGGGCATGATTGAAGACGAATTGTTAGTGGAATTCAATGAGAGTAAATCTTTTACATCGTTGGTGCCATCGATTATGAGTGGCATGGAGCTGTGTGTAGGTAGCTAAATTTGGAATACTTATTCATAATAATCATGCATTACAAACGATTTTTTCCAAAGGACCACTGGCTTCGTTTCTAATTAATAAATATAGTTGCCGGACTGTAGCTATTATTGGCTCAATATTAGGTGCTGTCAGTTTTGTCATTAGTGGATACATGCAAAATATTTTCTCACTTATTTTAACTGTTGGTAAGGAGATGCTGTGCACAGAAATACTATAAATTGATACCGATACTTATGAAAAAAAATTATACTCCAGGTCTAGGTGTTGGCACTGCGCTTGGTTTTATTTACATAGCAGTAAGTAAATGTTACTTTGTGTAGTTTTAATGAAAGAATCTTTATCTTTTTTTTTATTACAGGTAATTGTTAGTTTGTTGACAAACTTTGATAAATATCGGTCCGTCGCAACAGGTTAGTGGTTTTTTATTCGACTAATTGAGTATTGTTTTCTGACAAGTAAAATGAAAAGCAAAGAGTTTGCTTCAAACAAATTTTTTACCATCGGATCTGTAAATAGATAGAAAACAAACACTTTTTACAATTTTCGGATTTTTTCTCAAATCAGGTTTTGCATTATCGGGCACTGGCGTCGGTTCTACAACATTTGCACCACTGGTTGCCTTTCTCATCGAAAAATTTGGCTGGCGTGGATGCCTAATGACACTTGGTATAATTTTATTGAATTGTAGTTTATTGGGAGCCTTTTTTCGACAACCTAAAGCATCAAGAAAAAATCAGAATTTAAATAATATTTCAGAAGAGGAGATATCTCAAGCCAAGCAAGACAGCACAATAAACAATGAATTTGAGAACCAAAAGCACCATAATTATGTAAATCACGTAGTTTAGTGATTTTTCAATATAATCTGAACGAGAAATATATTTGTCTATTTTCAGTTGGTCGCTGCATTGGAAAGCATTAGTAAATTTATGAATTTAAATCTATTAAAAAATCCAGTCTTTATCCTATTCATCGTATCAGATTTCTTGACCAGTATGTGCTTATATGTGCCGTACTATTCATTGCCTTCTTATGCCAACACACTGGGCACGAAAGAAGATGGTCCACGAATATTGATGATCACTGGCATTATGAATATATTGGGTCCGTTCGTCATAGGATACATATCCAACAAATCATCAAATCGTCTTTGGATTTACATTGCTTGTCTCATTATTTGTAGTATAGGTAAAAATCGCCTCAAATCAAGACGCTCCGTATCATTTCGATGAATACTGCGTACAAGATTTGAAGTTTTCCCAATTTTTTTTTCAGCAATTGCAGTCTTCGTCATTTGTTCCAATTTCCTTTCGCTTGCCATTTGTTCAGCGGTCTTTGCATTTAACATGGGTGCCTGTGTTTCATTGCGATCGGTGATACTGTCCGATTTATTGGGCTTGAAGAATATCGAAAATGCATTCGGTTTGTTACTTTTGTTTGAAGGGATTGGAACTTTCATCGGACCACCTATTGACGGATTCCTTCACGACTTGTCGAATTCATACACGCCTGGCTTTCTCTTCACGAGTGTAATAATCGCATTTAGTGGTTTCATTCTAGTGCCCATGCCTGCATTAGTGAGCTACGTTAAAAAGAAACATTTACGACATGGAAATGTTGAAACTATTACCCAAGAATAGCTATCTTCGATGTATTCAAAATTGAGTATCGAAGTATGCATTTTCCGTCCATCAAACTTGTTGTAAATCTGTAATAAAATATTCTCTTTTGATAAATTACTTTTGATTACTTCTATCTACTAAATAATGAGTGCTTCTTCGTGGTTTTGGTGATGTTATCACAATATACCGAACAGTTGTTTAAAATAACAAAACAGGTTGAGTTATTGCATCATAATTTATTACTTTAACCACTCGTTTTAACAATACTTTTATTTCTTATTATCGAGCGAAAGTAAATTATTTGGATTTTATTTCTAATTATACACATTGACTAACTTTGAATAAAAGAAAACAAAATTACGAAAAAAATAAAAAAAATGCCTGAATATATATCGTCCAGCTAAAATCTTTAATCGATGAGAATTTGTGAATAGCTTGGTTTTCGTGCTTTTTTGCACTTAATTTTGCTTTGTTGTTTCTTGGGCATTTTAAACTGACTAAGCAGAAAAACAAAACATTTTCATTGCAATTTCTGTGTATTATTTTGCACGTCTTAAGAATAAATGCACAGAGACACATACGTGCTCAAGGTTTGGAATTTAGTTTTATATTACGACGCGACTGCAACGGATCAGCTAATTGCAGATAAGAAACTTTCAAAAGAACCTAATTGTTTCAAGTGAAGTGCAGTTATTTTTGACAATATTTAAAAGAGGAAAAAACCAAACTATTGAAAATGGCTAATGATGAGAAATCCCAACAAAAATCTGATGGAAAAATTGAAAATGGCAATACTGTACAAGAACCATCCAGCCCGATAGACGGTGGATGGGGTTACGTTATTGTTGTTGCATCTTTTGTTATTAATTTCATATGTAAGTGATCATAAGTTTAAATCTATTCGTTTAATTCATTGAAAATGTGCAAATCGTGAATGAAACTGTAATATATTTATATAATGGTGAACTGTTTTTACAAATATAATTTCAAATAACCACTAATTTCATCTACCGTTTCATTTTTATCAATGGAAAATCATGTACATTAAATGTGATGTGTGACTTTTTCAAATAAGCCGATGGAATCGTGTGCTCATTTGGCCTGATTTATATTCAGCTATTGGAAGAGTTCAATGAGGGCAAAGCTTACACGTCGATGATTTTGAGTATAATGAGTGGAATGGCATTATGTGCAGGCCCCATTTCATCAATTTTTGTAAATAAATATGGTATTCGTGCTGTGACCATTGCTGGGTCAATATTGGCTGCGCTTAGTCTCTTTGCAAGTTCCTATGCAGAAAACGTATTTACACTTATTATAACGATTGGATTCTCATTCGGATTTTCATTGGGTTTGGTGTATTTGCCTGTAAATAGCAGAAATTTACTATGAAAGTTCTTCTTCTCGCTTTCTAATATTTCGTCTCATTCAAACAGGCCATCGTTTCAGTTACGACGTATTTCGAAAAATATCGTTCGATTGCTACTGGAATAGCAGTTGCTGGTAGTGGCTTAGGTACATAATAATAAAACATATTACCAAAATATGGATAAAATAATAAACATTGTGCATTAATAGGAACTTTCGTCTTTGCACCACTTGTCGAATTCTTGGTCCAAGAATATTCGTGGCGAAAAACACTTATGGTCTTGTCTGGCATTGTACTCAATTGCGCTTTATTTGGTGGTCTATTTCGACCGTTACCACCTTCAACAAACACCAATTCAAAGTCCGAGCAGTACAGTATGTGTCTGTTTTTTTTTTAAGTTTATTATTTGTTTCAATAATTTTTTTTGTTTATTCAGGCCCGAAAAAAGACCAAATTACTGAGCTTGAGTCTCAACAGAATAGTAATCATGAGCATGGTCATGTGAAGCTAAAAGAAATGTGTTGCACACATCTCACCGTAAAGATTTATAAAAGTTGTATAAGTTTGTTGAGTTTGGAATTGCTAAAGGATCCAGTTTTTATTCTATTTGCGGTATCAGATTTTACCAATGCATTGGGCTATTATATTCCATTTTTTTGCATCGTTGATCACGCAACAGAACTTAACATTTCGAAAGATCAAGCGAGTTATTTATTATCTATTATTGGTATTGCGAATACATTGAGTCGATTGATTATGGGATATATGTTTGTATTGATTTTTCCAGCTCAAAGTACTCAAAATTTTCAAATTGATTTATACTTTCTTTTTCGATTCAGATCCGACAAATCGTGGGTTGATCGCCTTTGGTTATACAATATAAGTCTCGTCATTTGCGGTTTGGGTAAGGAATTTTCGTTTCATGCAGTTTTTTGTTTAATCAAATGCAAAAGTAATCATTTTCTTCCCATTTTAACAGCAACCGTTGCTTCAGTATTATGCACAAACTTTTACGAACTTTCGATTTACGCAGCTGTTTTTGGATTCAGTATTGGAGCTTATGTGGCACTAAGATCGGTCATTCTTGTCGATTTAATTGGCCTTGAGAAATTGAATAATGCTTTCGGTTTGCTCATGCTAATAGAAGGGATTGCAACATTTATTGGTAGAACAACATTTTTAAAAATATTTGTTTTCTGTTTATTTATTGTGTTTAATCGTTTATTAGGTCCACCGCTCGTTGGATGTCTTTATGACATTTTACATTCGTACACGCCTGGTTTCCTTTTGGCCGGATTGACAATCGCACTAAGTGGATTCATTCTCTTCTTTATGCCGTCATTGCTGCAAAATATTTCACAGAAGCGTCAACATGATATGGAAATGAGCTAATAATAGACATAATTTCATCATATTGTTTCTAATTTTAGTATTTTATAATTGATTCTTTAACTTGTGATGCATATACGCATACGCGATATAAATAAATGTTCCAAATTTGTATCATTTATTCCTCTATAATCAATTTTAAATATACATTTTTAATGAGCAATTGATTTGTCACTTGAAATAGCGCATTTTTTTAATTAAAACAAAATACAAACGGGCATTAGCGGCACATTGTGAGTAATATTGTTACAGACGCGCCGATTTTATTAGGAGATTTGAGTTGTGATTTAAAGTGAACATGTTGAAACATTGATATGCGCGCATATGTACATCTTTTTTTCGTCAGACTATGAATGCGCAAATGGGTGATTAATTATAATGACCCGAAAAACGACAACGACGTAAATCGAAAAGGAAGAAAAACAAACGACAAGCACATGATACTGGATGCGTATGCTGATAATGTCATATTTTGTCATATATTGTCAGTCAAAGCGTTGTGTTACACGAGAATTCACGGCAAATTATTATAGTTATTTTTTTAATTTTCATTTGGAATAGTTAATTTTTCGATTCAATTTTGATTTTAAATTCAATTAAAAGCGGTTTTATTGTTATTATAATAAAAAAATGGCAAATGGTACACGGACGAGACAAAGAGTGAACAATAACACCAACAAGAATAGCAATGAAGAGAATCTTCTTGAAAACCCAAATATTGACGGTGGCTGGGGATGGGTTGTGGTGTTTGCATCCTTTTGTATTCACATCATCAGTTAGTTGAATGTTTATTTTATGATAATGAAAAATTCAAATAAAAACGAGACATTATATTTTTATGTTTCTTATGTCACAGCTGATGGGATAACGTAAGTGAATAAAAAAACAACAACATTTCTAATGAATGAGCGAACAATTTTCGTCATTTGATGTTTTTCAGTTATTCATTTGGTGTGCTTTACATTCAACTATTGGATGAATTCAAAGAAGGAAAGGGATACACATCGTCGATACTATCAATAATGGCTGGAATTACGTTATGCTCAGGTTTTACTAAATTTTAATGAAAACCTTTTTTTTTTCATAGAAAATGTTCTGATGAAAACAATTTTCGAATCGCAGGCCCCATTTCATCATCGCTTACGGTCAAGTACGGATGTCGAACCGTTATAATTGCTGGTTCCGTACTTGCTTCTACTTGTCTTCTAATTAGCGTTTATGCAGAAAATGTAATTACCTTAATTCTATCGACTGGCGTGGGAGTTGGTTTCGGTTTTGGAATGATCTACCTACCGGTAAAGTTAAAGGCTCCATTTATTCCATACTTTCATATTTATGTTGATTCTTCCAATGTTCACAGGCCATCGTTGGAGTGTCAGTCTACTTTAAAAAGTACCGATCTTTAGCCACTGGTAAGTAAATATCATAGTATACGCCTTATTTCACTATTTCATACTATACTTTGGAACAGGTATTGCTGTCGCGGGCAGTGGATTTGGTAATTGCAGAAAATAAATTCACTAAGAAGCACACTAATTATATGAATATTTCATACAGGCACTTTTATATTTGCTCCGCTAGTAGCATTTATAGCCGAAGCATACGGTTGGAGGAAATCATTGTCAATTCTATCTCTGATTGTATTGGGTTGCGCACTTTTCGGTGTTTTATTTAGACCACCAACAAAATTAACACCAAAACATCAACACAACCAAATCACAACAACGGAACACTCGGATGCTTGTTTGTGTTTTTTTTTTAAATGTCATCCATTCATATGAAACAGAAAAATAATATTTTACCTTTGTTTCAGTTCAAAGAGACGATACAAGGAATGAATACAGACGCCAAAATAATAATGGAAATTCCGATATCATATTTGAATATGAAAGCAGTGAAAATGAAAGTAAACCTCTGATAGATAATAATAGAAAATTGACGACAAGCACGCTGCAGCATGTAATATAAATTAAATACTTGCAAATGGTTTTTCTGAACAAATGTGTGAATTTTTATTTCTAGCGTTCGCTTCAGAACATTTTGAACAACTCATTGAGCGAAATATCAAGTACGGAGTCCGATTCATCTCGGCAAATTGAGGTAAAATTTCAAATGTAATGATTTTGTTTTGAATCATTTTGGAACCATCATTCTCCACTTTAAATAGGACTGCCGTAATGAGACTCACAAATTGGACGTTCTAAAAAATCCAATATTTCTTTTATTCGCTGCTTCGAATGTTGCAACAGATTTAGGCTTTTATATACCGTATTTTTACTTGCCTGATCGTTCAAAGGAACTGGGAATTTCTGAAAAAGATGCGGGCGGTATTTTGGCAACCATTGGAATTTTTAACACTATCGGTAGAGTTGTACTCGGTTGGATTTCTGACCGATCATATCAACATCGAATTTTTGTCTATAAGGTTTGCTTATTTACTTGTGGTGTCGGTGAGTAAAAGAAAACAATAATTAATTACACAATTAGCAAAAAATCATATTCGCAAAATTCAAACAGCAACCGCATCGTCTGTGTTTTGTTTGGATTTGGAATCATTGACCATTTATGCCGCTGTATTTGGATTCACCATTGGAGCATATGTTGGCTTGACTTCAGTTATTCTAGTCGATTTGATGGGTTTACAAAAACTCACCGATGCTTTCGGAATGTTGCTATTATTTCAAGGAATCTCTAGTTTGATCGGACCACCCATTGTAGGAGCCCTTCACGATGAGTTTAAAACATATACGCCAGGATTTATATTTGCCGGTGCAATGATTATATTAAGCAGTATTCTCACTTCATTCATTCCAATACTACAGAAGTATATTGCACGCAAAGAGCTACGACGCGAATATGCATCCATCGAATAATTGAATTGTTATACATTTTGCATCTTAAAATAAATAAATAAATAGATAGAGTATAATATAATTTTGGAATAAATTCGTTTCGAAAACATTCTCTCTTTTACCTCTGCCAAACGGTGCCCGGGTTTGATATATAAAATCATTACATACACATATGTACACATACGGATGACAATACGATCATTCACAAACAAAGTAAACAAAAAGTGCAGAAACACATGCACACCAATATACGTATGTTGTTGATTGGTTGCTGATTATTTTGCGAGTATCTCAGTTTTACATCATAAATAGGCAATCACATTTCGTACATTAAGTTAGATGTTCATTTGAGCTATTCATATCTGTGACAAAAAGTCTACTCGCTTGTAGCATTGATTTCAGTTTCAAGTTACATTTCAAGTGCAACGGTTTTATTCTCCGTTTGAGATTCAGAAAACAATTAAATTATAAAGTGCAACATTTTGTTGTGCGCAAAGGCAAATCCTTCACATTTTTGAAAAAAAAAAAAAAAAAAAAAAACAATCATGAAAAATATTGAAATTCAGTGAAATAAAGGTACAAATTAAAATTATTTTGAAGTGATACCAATTAAATTGTTGGTAAAAAATAAGTTGAAGCGGTAAAATATGACACACGGTGGGCCCGTGAAAAGGCAGAAAGCCAGTAAAAATTCTGCCAACGTTGATGATGAACTTCCTATTACACCCCCGGATGGCGGTATGTGCCAATACAACTGGTGGTAGCTTTAATCTAATTTCTAATCACAAAAACACTTTTTTCTCCAGGTTATGGTTGGGTGGTATGTGTCAATTGGGAGAGTTGGTGGAAGCTTTAATCACATACACACGTTTTTCTTTCTTTGCAGGTTGTCATCGCTTCCTTTTTCATTCATATCATTAGTAAGTTATTACATTTTTTCCCCGGACACGCTCTCAAACTGTCTATTTCTACATGTGTCTTCTCTCAAACTGTCTATTTCCACATTACTCCGTTGTAAAAGTCATTCAAAGTAGATCTCAAAAACGGCATAAATTTGTTTTGACGTAGTTGATTCGAATACTTATTTACATCAAAGCGAAATAAATTTCAGTTTGAATTAATTGATGCTGATAGACTGAAGAAAAGTTATGAATGTCGTTAGTTTTCAACTGGAATTTTTGTTGCACTTCATAATTTACAATATCTAGCAAAAAAAGAAATTGAACAAGAAAAAATCGCGTCATTAAATAAACAATAAATTAAAATTTAAATGCCTATACACACGATAAACGATTTAACATTCACGTTGTAGGCGCATACGTCAATCTTCGCGAATATTTTGCACAGCAATAATTCCAAAATTGAAATTAAAAGACAACATTGTAGGAGTTCCATAAAATTTAATTGTTTAGGTATATTTCGTTAGTTGTATTATCTTTACTTTTGGATAACGTGCTGTTGGTTAAACGGTTGTCAAACGCGAATTCCTATCGATATTCGATAGCAGACAAAAAATTGTTGTCAACAAACTAAAAGTGAATAATAATTGCAATAGATTGCCCAGTACTGCACTGTTTATGTAAGTTTCCAATGACATAATCGCATTTTATTCAGTTCGAACCGGATTTTAACTTGGCGTACAGTACTGGTCAAAAAATGTGTTCTGAATGAAAATGTTGTTTTTTCTAGAAAGAAAAGATAATTTTGGTCTTTCATCGACACGATTCAGAAAAATTAATCGCCAAAATCAGTTATTTTAGAAGTAGAACCCTGCATTTTTGTAGAATCGCATAAAAACTTTCGACCTGTACTTTATATTACGTTATTGAAGCATAAATATTCACTTCGATCATATAACACGCTTCTCGCTACACTTTTGTCGTTTAAGGTAAACGTGATATGGGTGCGATTTATCTCGATTATGTTTTGAGTCAACAGGAAAGAATATTTGCGCTTGGCGCTGTAATTAAAATGAATTATTTGTTTATTTTTTTATTGTGTGTCTGTTTTTTTTTGTCCAATGAAATTCTATAGAAAAATGCCGCTCGTCAAGAATAAAAATTATTTGCACATTTCACGAAATTTTTTGTGTTTTGAAAAGAAAGACAAAACATTGACAGAAAATATTTTTTTAGTAGTTAATACTTGACCAGTTGATCATATGTTTATGCCGGTGTGCACGTACTGTTATAGCAACAATGTGATTAATAAAAAAAAAACAAATTTACCTTGACACTTTGTTTATGCATTTGTACATAGTACGTAACAAGTTTGATTTCACGTTGATTTACAGCCGATGGGTTAAAATTATCGAACTAATTATTATTTTCATGATTGAATTTTATGTTTCCTATATCACAGCTGATGGGATAACGTAAGTAATAAAAACAACAACAACATTCACTTGTAAAAAGCGAAAGTTTAATTTTATTCATTATTTTTCAGTTACTCATTTGGTGTGATGTATGTGGAATTGTTGAAGGAGTTCAATGAAGGCAAAGGTTATACAAGTTGCATACTCTCGCTGCTTTGTGGTATGACTTTATGCTCAGGTAAGCAATTGACTTACATATATTCAGTGTGATATGGAAATGTAAGTAGTGATGACTTGTTATAGGTCCTATTTCATCCTCGTTCGTCAATAAATATGGCTGTCAGGCTGTTACTATCGCTGGTTCCATAATTGCTGCGGCCTGTCTTCTAGTCAGCTATTATGCACAGAATATTTTTACATTAATCATAACTATTGGTCTGGGCCTGGGCTGTGGATTAGGTCTCATCTATCTACCGGTAAGAGTGCTACTCAACTTTCATCAAAATCATGTATCTTCCCGTTTAATCGCTTTCTATTCCACAGGCTATAGTTAGTGTTTCGGCGTATTTCGAAAAGTATCGATCTATCGCAATTGGTATCGCTGTAGCCGGTAGCGGTTTGGGAACTTTCATCTTTGCACCGCTCGTTGCAATTTTTATCGAAACTTTGGGCTGGCGCAAAACGTTGCTCGTTCTTTCTGCCATTGTATTGAATTGTGCGTTGTTCGGTGCTTTATTCAGACCACCAAAATCTCGGCCAGCAAATTCCATCGAACAATCAAATACAAGTCTGTGCTTTCAACTTTTCCAGTTCATTCGAACTGTCACATTTTAATTACATCCATTTTATCCGTTCCGTTTCAGATGAAAAAGAAATTGAGTGTCATCAAAATAATGGAATTGATTATAAACCAAGTACGAAATCCGACACTCTTATGACTCGATCACAAAGTGTTGGCCATAATATGCGAACAAATAATCATCAACATAATGATGACGTTAGATACATGTTGTCACAACCGTTACTTACGAATGCTGGTCGCGAAATTAAGCCACTGAGTGAATCACGTAGAAGCTCAAGCATTCTTTCACGGCCCGACATTTTCTATCAGGTATCATCATCAAAATGTTTCGAATACTTATTCCAGTCATACAGTCTGAGTCAATGTGAATGTGTCAAGTGGCACATATTTTCTATTGATTATTAATTAGAATCTCGCGCATCACAATTGATCATCACGGTCATCATTAAATTGAATCGAAAAGTTAGCTGACCGCCGCCGATTCAAATCGATTGCGCAATGATAACATTTGCAAAATATTGAACATTAGAATTGACTATATTTTTTATTATTGTCTCCGCAAAATTGCAGTCATTTTTGTTTTTTTAGCATTGATTGCGTCGCAAAAATGATATTGTATCGATTCACATCGTTATTGTCAATAAACAAATTGTCATTTCTATATCATTGAAACGCGGAACATCAACGCATCAGCTATAGTTTTCTTATTTTATAAATGTTTGTTATTTTTACTTATTCGTTCGTTTTAGGGGTCACTGCACAATATTTCCAATTTTCGATCCCAGAGTGAACTGCGGAATGATGTCGAAAAGTTTGGCTCACTTCCGCGAGTTGAAGAAAATGAAATGGTGAGCATTTCGTTACGATTATTTATTTCGATCTTGATCAAATATCTATTTTTCGGCAGGAATCACCATCACCGCCCACGAAATGTTGGTGTTTCAATAGCGACGAAAGTTTTCTTGAAATGATAAATTTTCAATTGCTTTCCGATCCAATTTTTCTGATTTTTGTACTGTCTAATTTTTGTACGTGTCTCGGATTTTATGTCCCCTATTTTTGCTTGGCTGACAAAGCCAAAATGTACGGTTTATCAACTGAAGAAGCAAGTTATATTCTTGCTGCCATCGGATGTGCAAACACAATTGGACGAATTGTTTTGGGTTACATGTTTGTATTTCGATTTTCAAACGCATTGCCAGTGATTTGATTTTTACTTTCTATTTCAATTCAGATCCGATAAATCATGGGTTAACCGATTGTACGTTTACAATATTTGTCTCTTTTCTTGCGGTATCGGTGAGTATATGCGTGGAATATTGTTTCAAATGAAAGTAAATTGAATTTGCTGTTACTCTAATTGCATAGCAACTGCTGCATCTATTTTTTGCGTGGACTTCATTTCATTAACTATTTATGCGAGTGTATTTGGATTCACGATCGGGGCATATGTCGGTTTAACATCAGTCATACTGGTCGATTTACTTGGATTGGATAAACTGACAAACGCATTTGGCATTTTATTGTTGTTTCAAGGTTTAGCCTCGTATATTGGCCCACCCATAGGTAAAGATTCTATTTTTTTGGTAAATATATTTATTTTATTTTATATTTTGGTTTAAATTATAGTCGGTTTTCTATACGATCAATCACAATCTTATACGCCTGGTTTCATTTTTGCTGGCTCTATGATTGCCTTGAGTGGCTTCATCCTATTTTTCATACCGACATTACAACGATACTTTGCGCGGAGACAAATGAGAAGCGAAATTAAAAAGAATGCGCAATAACACTAAGAAATAGCAGAGATTAAATCATATTAATAAATGAAAATACATTGTTTGAACTTTGTTGTTTATTTCAATGGATTCAGTTATAAAGGAATTCGAACATTACTAAAATGGCTACTTTAAATTTTATTCATTTGTAACAGTATTACCTCTTTTAAACTTGTTTTAAAAATTGATGATCAATTTTCAAAGATGTCCCTTGGTGCAGCGGAAACATTCTTTAAAATTACGTTTGCCGTTTTCCAAAGTTCTTCATCGTCATTCAGGAGAAAGTCTATACTCTGTCATGAATTGAAATTTCTATGCATTATTAATACATTATTTCTTAATAAACATTCAAACATTTACCGAAATTTGACTATTATCGCTGTCATTCTGTAATATTTCAGAGAAATTCTTCAGTTTTTTCCGAACTGTGTACAATTTATGAGCCAAAAATCCTTTCAATGAACATTCGCCGACATTGAGTCTATTCAGTATCCGCAGAATATCTTCGCAATAACTTTTTATTTTGTATAAATCTAAATTTAAATGAAGTGGATCACATTTCATGTGATGAAAAACTAAAGCAACATTAATACCTTGACAATTTGATGGCATATGCTTAGCGGCTTTCAATTTACACTCAACCACAAATTGACTACACTCTGGTACAAGTTTGTATAATCTAGCTTCAAAAAACTGTTCCAATTCCGCCAATGTAAATTTCGTGCTTGTGAAATTTCGGGTTATTGTAGCGGCCAATTCGTGTGTTTGTAAAAATCGTCTATTCTCGCAAATTTTTCCACAACAATTACATTTGGCAGGTGATCGAAAGTCAAGAGGTTCAATGGGTAACACGAGACCAGCAGTGCAATTTTTATCTGCACATTGAATTGCTGATAAATTCGTTGAATTTTCCGTTGGATCAATACACCGTTCACATTCACATCGGAATTGTTTCGAAACAATCATGTGCATACGCCGTGAATTCGTTCCCCATAACAGTTGCGAATACGATATGAATATTTGTTCATCCTTTTTTATTGGCCGCGAAGCTAGTACACGTCCTACAAAATGTTTGTCAATGTCGTGTCGTGTGTTTGGCGAGCACTTATGATTAATCAATGATTTGACTGGATAGAAGCCAGTGACACTAACATCTCTGCCATCGGTAAGATTTTCATCATCATCGTCCCCGCATCGATACAGTACTTTGAATGCATTTGTGTTTATAGCGGCCGATGCCGATCGTAAGGCCACCAGGGTTTCTTTATCTTCTGGAAAATTTTCGAACTCATCATTGAAAAAAATTTCATTCTCCAAACTAACGAAATTCTTTTGCATCAATTCGAGAAAGTTTTTCTCTTTTTCGCTCAAAAATAACGATCGAATGACATTCACTGCTCTTAATTTCTTGAACGATAATTCATTTGGATTTTTTGGTTTCCATTTTTGTAAAAGTTCACACTCAGCCAAGTGTTGCTCAGCACATACACTTTTGCCACGGCATAATATCAAGCCGCATTGTCTAGGGCATAGATTTAAATGCACGTCATTCTCAATTTTTTCGTAACAAATGACACATACAATTGGTTCGTATTTGTTTCCCGTCGGACCCAACATCAATGGTTTATCTTCGAATAACAATTCATTGGGCTTAATATCTCTTATCGCAAATACACCACAACCAAAGTCATTAGACGGTCGTAATTGACACGAGTTTGACCAACTGTTCATGTTACCCACATGATTTTTTATGCACTCGTTTAGATCGTTTATCCGATTTTGACGGTCAACCATGATCGATTGCTTTTTATCAATGATTTAATGCGTTTGATGTAACAAACCGAATGAATATTCGTTGTATAACTGAAAAATCATTTATACAATGAACACTAAACCCAGAGGCTCGCAAGCCAAAAGGCCGTAAACTATTCGCATGCATCGTAAAACCCTTTTCTCTAAAAATAGACACATTGAAATGATAAATTGGTGCTGTGTTGTCTAGAAAAGTGTACAATACGCGATATTATTTTGTAAGCACCAACAAGCATTTGAAGTCAATGACTTTTATGTTCATAACACACCAAATATTAGGTAGTGTTCACACTTTTTTGCATTGAATCTAATTTTATAAGCAGACGAAAACATGTCACCAGTTATTTAAAAGGGACTCTAATTCTATTTTATATTGTAAGAAGAAAAAAAACAAAAGACATTTTTACAAGAAATGGAATAAAAATAGAACCTTGTTTAAATAAATATGAACAATTTGGTGAGATAGAACTAAATATGAAACTTGTTAAATTGTTTTTGATACAAAATATATCCATCTATAAAGTGTAATATGTTTATTCTAATTCAAAAAGACTATCAGTTCATTTTATAGGCGAAATTATCAACAAAATTCGACATTTTTAATTTATCTACAAATAGCTGACAATAATTTCAAACTGTGATATGGAAAATATTAAAATAAAATGAACAACATGCATATCGAAATAAAAAAAATGTAATTAAACTGTGGTTAAAATTTGAAAATGTAGAGGCCTTTTGTGCACACACACACTTATAACTAGCGACCTCTGAGTGATTTCAGTGAACTACCAAATGATATGCTTGTCATTAGCAAATGTCATACAAATACAGCCAAATACCATAGAAAGGTATCATACCGATTTGTCCATCAAACGAAGTCGACTCAATCATAAATCAAGCCGAAAAATAGTGAAACTAATAGGTTCAAAGAGTGAAAAAGTGAAAAAAAAATTAAATATAATTCGAGGTGCAACAAATATGTGTGCACTGTTTTTGTGGTGCAACTAAAGGAAAATGTCTAAGGCTGTGAAACGAAAAGTTAGCGTAGAACCCTCATCAAAAAGTCGTCTGAGTGTATTTCAGCGTTTGGGCACAAAGAAATCCAAATCAATTGTAAGACCACCAACAACAAATCCTACAAATTAATCATTTTTTTATATAATTGTTCATGCATGATTTGCATTCGTTTGCAATTCATTATTCTTTTTTTGTTTATTTTCATTTCGTTTGTGTTCATTTTTCTGTCATTTTCTTCTTCTTCTTCTTATTTTTTTCGGTTTGGTTTTATTAGTTGTTTCACACACATACATAGTGCACTCACTCTGTAGAATAAGGATCCAAAAGTATCAAAAAAAAGAAATTTAATTCAAATCAAATGAAATTTTACTCAAAACAGTCACAGGAAAGCAAATCGTTATCCGACGATTTCAAGCAAACGTTATCGGCAGCCGTCAATATAACAACAAAACCGATCCTGTCGAAACCGGATGCCGTTGAATTGGAAGATGCTGATCCGGACATTTTAGAGAAGAAGCGCGAAGAAATCAGAAAAGAGCTTGAATTACAAATGAAAATGGATTCGCGCCGTATCGCTTCTCGCAAACGTAAACATGCCGAATCGAGTTCCAGTTCATCATCTTCCAGCGACAGTGATTCAAGTTCAACATCATCATCATCCAGTTCATCCGATAATCGACATAAATCACGTAAATTAAAATCAACACGTCGCGATTCAAGCTCTTCGTCGGATGAATATGCAAAGAAATTGGCGAAAAAGAAACGTGCATGCCAAAGTAAAAAAGAAGCACTGAAATTGCATAAATTGTCAAAGAAACATGAAATTACCGTATCGCGTAAGAGTAAAAAACGTTCACCATCTCCGTTGGCCAAAAAGCATCGCAGTGCCGGCGATAGTTCATCAATTATGCTCAGTCCAAGTGGTCAAAAAGTTATGGTAAAAAATCTGAAAATATCCACATCACTGGATAAGCACCATCGAGTCCGTGAGAAAGAGATTGACCGTAGTGAATTGTTGCAGCGCAGTGAACGTGAACGATTGCGAATGCGAAGTCGTAGTCCAAAAATGACCAGATCACGTACACCAAAAAATTCACCATCGTTATTACGTCGATCGCCAACCGAAGTCAAGCGCAATCGTTCATTGAGTCGTCGTATGGATAGTGGTGAACATGAGCGCCGCGAAAAAGAACGTGAATTGGCAAGAGAAAAAGAGCGCCGTGAAGCTTTGCTACGGTCACAAGAAAGACAACGAGAACGCGAACGGCTAGCTGCCAAGGATTCAAAGAGTCAACGACTCTTACCACGACCTGCGGAACGGGCTTCAATGCAGGCAATGGCATTGGCGGCCGCACAAGAACGCAATACGGATAAAGATGTTGGCTATAATAATCGTAGTTTTGGCAGCGATAGACCAGAGTCATTCGAACATCGGCGACATGAAAAAGAGCCTCGCGAACATGATCGATATGAAAAGTATGAGAGTCATGGACGTCGCGAACCAAGTGAATATCAACATGGCCCGAATTATCGAAGAGACTGGCATGATGAGAGCTCATCAAAAGATTTATACGATCGTTCAACGGAACATCAAAGTTCATCACGCGATTGGGATCATAAGCGAAATGAAAATATTCGAGCCGGTGATTATGCGGAGCGCAAAGATTGGAATGACAGCTCAACAAAATGGACAGAACGAGGAAAACCCACCGAAAAATATGAACGACGAAGCGGTCAAAATGAATATATACCGCATAGTAGTAGTCGTAGCTATCCTGAACGAGCCGAACTATTTGATACGGGCTCAACGAGTTCGGTATCGAAAGCAATGGGTGTTAGCAGTGGTGGTATCAGAGGTAGATGGAGCACTTCGTGGCGTGGACGAGGACGGGGTACCCATCATCATAATAGCGATTTCCGTCGGCCACATCATCATACTGAAATATTGGAGGAACGCGGCGAAATCTATCGACGACACATCAATCCACAGGGAGTTAATTGTAAGAATCAAAGAAATTACTAAAGAAAAATTCAATTACTTTCATTTCGGTTTTCAATTATATTTTATTATTGATTAATTTTTTTTTTTCATTTTCGATTTTGTTTCTTTTTTATTCGAAAAATTCAGTGAATAAATCGGCAACCACAACCAAATCTGATACGCCGGCAACGGTATCAACGCCAACCGAAAAACAAAGCGATGATATAAGCAAACAATCATCATTGATGGCCGACGGCGAAGATGGCGAAGAAATAGCTGACGATTTGAGTGAGATAAGTGATGAAGCTGATGACATTTTGGGTCAGCAAGAGGTAAAAAGAACCATTCAATCACGTTGCTTCTATTATTATAATTTTTTTTTCTTCTATTAATTTTGTCAATTTTCCTTTTTTTTTATTCTGTTAAAAAGGATACGAATACAAAGTCACAACAAGCAATTGAAACAGTGGTTGGTGAGAAGCTGGTTGCTGATGTTGAAATGAAAGAGACTGCTGTGTCCGCATTGAAAGATTCGGTTCATGCTGAAAATGACAAATCAATCGATCCAAACGATAGTGTACATATGCGTGAAAACATAACACCGACTAAATCGCCCGAGGAACCAGATCGTACAAAGGAATTGTGCGATGACATTGATTTGGATTTTGAAGAGATTTCCGATGGTGAATTGGAAGAAGAGGCACGTACAAAAGGTCTTGGCGATGCATTGGGTGTTGACTGGGCCAGTTTAGTTGAAGAATCAAAAGCAATGATGCGCGAAAAATTGACAAAAATCGAAACATCGGCCAAGCAACGTTGGAATCCCGATCAAATCTTATTGGACGTTGGAGTATCGTTTAAAATGGCTGGAACAGCTTTTGCACAACAAACACTAATGACCGCTTACGAGAATATTCGGCGTGAATTGAAATGTTCTAAAATAAAAATCGAGCCAAACGATGACTCCAATTATACAGACACACAGGTGAAGATTGAACCAGAAAATGACATAAAAGTACCAAATGTCAATGGAATTGCAAAGGAGGATCGTAAATTGATTCTACATCCGTTACCATGTGTTCAGACATCAATACAAAACACAGTGGATAAACAACGCCAATTAGTGTTCAGCGCATCGGGACCATACAGCCGTGGATTGTGTTGTAAACGCGATATTGAATTGCGCAGGAAATTGTGCAACTTATCGGTTTGCGAAAGCAATTGTAAAGCCATTACAACAAAAACTGGCTATGAGAATAACGCAATTTCTCTATTTCAAAAAGTTTTACAAGCATAAAAAGATTAGAGTGTATAATTTAAGATTATACAATTTATGATTTTATTTTTCTTATTTTCAATTTTATTTACTCACGCATAAGAATTTTTCTTAGTTTTTAAGCGCCATAAACCACAAACATTGTACTCATTTAAATTAATCGCAGAACAAATTAGTTTCTTATCATGTGAACATTATATCATATATCAGATAATAATTTGTTATGTAGAATTGAAAGAAAATTATTACTCACTTCGAGTGACACCAATAAAATCAAACTGAATATCAAAAAAAAAAAAAAAAAATTGCATCTTTTTTTAAAGTCTTATTCTAATTTTTGTAGGTCACATAAGGTATTGTTCAAGCCACATGGAAAAAAGCAGAAAACCTACATAAAGAGAGATAGAGAGAGAGAGAGAGAGAGAGAGAGAGAGAGAGAGAGAGAGAGAGATAGAGAGGAGCAAGAGGGTGTAAAGAATAATGAAAATATAATGACTGAAAGAATAATTGAAAATATTGTTCTGTGTAAAATGAAAAACTACAAATTTATACGTTAAACAGAAGTATTATTTTCTTTTTATTTTGTTGTCATTCAATTTGCATGTTGACTTTATTTTATAGTTCATCTTTATTACATCCTAGTATATATAATATTTTATGCCCGTTTGAGAAACCGACGGTTTCAAACCATAATCAAAATTAATGAACAGGGGCTGCAATTTGTTCAAATTACATTTTTTTATTTCTTTTATGGAACAAATAATAAATTATGATTTTTAAAATCACAGTATTGAAACACACTATTGTTATTCATGCCATTCAATCATCATTTCTCATTCAAATCATTGAGTTTTACGAGCCAATCGTTCAATGCTATTTAGAGCAGAAAAAAAACGGAGTTGAATCACAGAGTGCAAATATGTATAATAAATATTAATCATACATGTGCACAGGAACAGGCGCTGCAGTGCACTGATGTGTCGATTAAATAAAAATTCAAATTGCATGTTGCACGATTAAACTCAATTTTAGCCCCTCCCCCCCAACGGATTGAATAGTTTTGTTTTTACAGTTGTGGTTTTCTTACATTTGTTTCAATCACAATCCCAAATAAAAAATACGATACTATACCGAATGGGCTTCTCATCACCAATGAGGATGAAAATGCATGTGAAACGATTCAAAATAAAAGATGACATGATGTTTTTGTTTTCTTTAACAAATAGTTTGTATAACTCCTGAACAAATAATAATACCACAATAAGGCTATAGCACTCGATTTCATAATAAAACGATGAAACAATACAGCACTGAACGGATTTCACAGCGAAGAAAATCCTGTTATCTATTAAGTATACTGTTGGTATTTTAATTGGCTTTAACTTAGTTATCATTTTGGTCAGCATTTGTTTTATGTTCGTGTGTTACATGTATATTATATTAAGTTCGTTTTCGAGTGTAAGTTTTTTTTATGCGCAAAAAATAGGTTTGCTTTTTTCCTGTTTAGTTAAGATTGTTGTATATATGTTCGCTATTGAAAAGAGGATATTAAGTTACATTCGTTGTGCTCGTAAACATTTTTTGTCTACTAGAAGAAAAAAATAATTGGGATTGAAGAGGATTCTTATATTTTTGTATATACACCAGGTAATTTGTTTGTTTATTTTTTTTTCTTATGCACACGAAAGCTCGTCAGATTTATTGGAAAATCAATTCGATGAGCACGAAAGGCAACTTTTTCCAAATCGAAAGCTTCCGTTACTTAGCGAAATGATGGTTTTCATTGTATAATTCTAGTTTTCTGGTGCCCATTTTTCTCTTTCTTATTGTATTATTTATTCAAATTGTATTTAAAGTTAATTAATAGACACCTGAAGACGTGATGATGATAAATAATGTGGACAAATATGTAATTCATTTTCACGGTTAAATTTAAGAAGGAAAAAGAAGTTGTCATTAGGTTGAGAAAAAAAAACGATTGTTCTATGATGATTTTATAGCACTTTGGATGATCAAACTATGTTTTTTTTTTCTTTTTTGTTCACCATCCACATGAAAAAATTAAAATTCCAAACATTTGATGTAAATTTTGATTTTAAATAAATCAGTTTTGAAACCCTTGAAATACCAAATTGTCCATTTGTGAACTCAATTTTTGAAAAATTACAAAAAATTTGCAAAAGGTCAGGATCATTTTTTTGGATTTTGAGGCCCAATGAGTCTGCATTTAGTATAAAAAAACTTAAATCTTAAGCCTGATGTTTTTTGTTTCTTTTGTAAAATATGCTTTCAAACACTTATTGATATTTTTTGGTGCAAGAAGGGATGTAGATGAAATTCTTCAATTCTTCTTCAAGAAGTTTTTTCATTTGTTTTTTGAGTTCTAGAGCTGTGAATGACGAAATTAAACTTCATTTAATTCGGTTTTGTTTTGAAATCGCTCACATACATAAATACATATAAAATTACACTATTCCACTTTCCATTGAATTAAAAGGTAAGTCTCTAATTTGTGAACCAATTATAAAAAGCAAGCACACATTTAAGTGGATGATTGAATAATACGGAGCTATAAAAATCCCTCACGCGTACACTTTCTCATTTTTTTTCTCATTTGGAAGAAGAAATTGAACAATAAAAACTTCTATAAACCTGGGTGCATGTGTTAATAATAATGCTTACGAACGAACATCATTTCTTTTCTTTCTCTTCTTTATAAATGTATCTACAGAATTTGAATTCAATTATAAATAAAACTAATTTAAGTTAGATAGTAATTTTGTGTGTGTATGTGTGTGTGTTTTGATTTTAAAAAAAGAAATTAACATGTATATGAGAAAAGAAACAATATATTAGACAGTCACCAGAGACCGAATGTCTTTTTTAACAACATAGAATTTATGTTTTTTACCAACTAAACCCCAGATAACAGCTAAATTTTCAATGACCAAATTAACTGGAATTATACAAACGGCTGCCAGAGCACAAAACACAAATCGCATCAAACCGAAACGATAAAGTGAAAATGATTTCAGCACACCAAACACATACATATAAATATTAACGCCGGCTATAAATGCGCACACAAAATCCATGAAATATGGGCACGGTATTGGATAGAGTGCAGCAAAAATGATATTTGATGTTGACAATGGTAATGTGACCCATGAATAAACGCTTACGCCAAGCAACAGTTTATGCTTCACTGGAATCATTTTTGAGTGAACAACCAATAAAATTCCCTGCAGCCATCGTTTGCGTTGTTGTAGAAAGTCGATCAATGTAAATGGTGATTTTTCATACATTTCACCCTCGATAAAATTGAATGTGTAGCCTTGACTGAATGCACGCATTGCAAAGAAACAATCTTCAGCTACCGAACCATCAAGCCCATTATCGAATGACACTGCTTTTTCCGCTTGCAGCTGCAACAATTTTAAATTTATTATTTAGAATTTGTTTTTCGAATTCGATTAGTTACAAAGTACTCACTTGAGTTACCACGTAGCTTCCTTTCCAGCTGAACAACGGCTTATGAAATAGTTTGAATTGTAGACGTAATTTTCCCATGTCGTCACTCACACGAAAACTGTCGGCTAGCGTTGTGAACCAGTTTACAACATTCTCATTGGCATACTGAAAATATTCAATTCCACAATATTTATGAACGTCAGAGTAAAAAATGATGAAATTCCATCACTTACCGTAATTAATCCTTGCCCAAATGGATGTTTGCCATCCAATACAAAATTGATAATACCACGAACGCTGTTCTCCGTCAGCAATGTTTCTTCGTCCAAGTGGACAATCCAATCGTTGTTATTAAGTACGTTTATATGATCTTCAAGGCAATGCTGTAAAGCACGTGATTTGAATAATGCACCCGATTTCGTTTGATAGTCATGTGGCACAACAATTTCTCGAATGCGTCGATGCTTTGGCAAATTGATTGGTTTATCTGTGACAACTTCCATGAGGAAATTTTCCAATCCGGTGTCTAAGCATGTATTCATATTTCGTGTCACATTTGCTTTGACCAAGTCGGGAAAATCACCGCGGGTCACGACTCGTATGCAAATAAATGGTGCCAACAGTGGGCTACCTTTGAGCACAACCTTTTCCGGGAACGCATTATAAAAAACTAACCCGCAAAAGTTAAACAATACTTGTGGTAACGTTAGGAATGTTAAAAATCTCAATAAATACAATACAATTGTGGCGAATTGCCTAGAGAATCACAAAAGAAACAGGAAATAATGAAAATTAGTCAACAATCACGATGAAAAATATCGCAAAGATGGAAAATACTTACCCATATTCGGACCATGGATCAACCGATGTATATGAGTATTCATTGACTTTTATGCCGCCGGTAAATATTTCAAAGAACATAATCACGACAAATAACAATGTGCAGTGCAGTACATGTTTGTACGTTGAATTCAGCATGTTGATCAATCGCATTTGGATGTGTGTTTTGTTGTATCCGTGTAGGTGTTTGATTCGTATCGAAGTATGTGTATTTGAATTTGGTAGTGCTCGTACAATCGATGTTGTTGTTGTCTGCAAACTTTTGATGAATATGTGTCGGTGTGTGTGTGTGTTTGTGTGTATGTGCTTCCAGATTATGTGACAAATAAACCAATTAAGGGACAAACAAGCAATAAATCATTAAGTAGCGCAATTCATTCAACTAGTTCGGACGTTTGTTGATCGCTTATTTGAGTGTTTCCCCATCATTTCTTTTATTTGATTGAAACCTATGATTAAAAAAACACATAAATAAATAATGAAAATAAATACATAAAAAAATATTTGTTTACGAGCTAAAATTTGTTTAGTTTTTCTTTTCTTAATAAAGAAATGACTTAACGGCCACCTGGAAATAATTCAATTTTTTCACAGATATTCCAGATATTCTTTCCATCTACATTCGCATTGAAGCGTGTCTTATCAATATCATTCTCTCATTTATCGTCGACTTATCGATTCCACTTTAATTGATAATGGAATTTCACAGAGAATAAGTATTGGATTCTTCCCAACAAACCATACACCTCGACCGTCGCAATTTATACTGTTAATGAAACTTTGCTGTTAGTATTAAAAACATTCATACGGACTCTATTTTTACTTATCTAAAGAAACATGAGTGTGTTCTAATTTAAATTGATCCGATCCGATAGGAACTACAACGACAACAACAAAAGAAAACAATAATCAACCTTCAGACGCTTTTTCATTGATAAGGTATTTAGTATCAAAAATTCAAAGAAAAACTGGTACTATAATTCCGAAAAATCAATGAATTCACCTCAAAACACAAACCTAGGGGGAGACACCAAAGAATAAATTCCGAATCCACTATATAAATTACTAATCCAGCTAAACCACTAATCCAAAAACACAGATGTGAAATCGAAAATATTTTTCCTATTCCATGGACTGTTTCGCTATTCCACGAGAATCCATTCACAGACGTTGCTATTTCTTTGCAATTTCTCGAATCTTTACAGTAAAAGTCTAATCCTATTCCACGTGTCTGCCCCCTAGACAGTGTCAGTAGACACAAACATTTATTATCATTTTAGGCACGTGTAACATGAATTATGAATGGAAATTTAAAAAAAAATCTGTTCAACTTTATATTGATTGTCCCAGTTGTGAAAAGTTTTTCTACATTTAATAATATTTACTCAACTACAACACCACATGACCTATATTAACCCAAAATAACCCATTTTGAGAATGTTTATAAATTAAAAATGAAAAGCTTTTCAACGCACTTTAAAAAAAATATTTTTCGACTTCGTTTTCATGTGATACTTCCTCATTGAATGTGATTTTTTTTGTTCTGCAAAATATTGAATCCATACTTCGCTTTTATCAAGTGTCCATATCTAAATATGATCATTTTTATGACTAAAATTCATCGACCATTCTGCATGACGTAATTATTTGATAACGTGTCTTTAATATTAGCACTATGTGACCATTTTCATTATCTTCAATTCAGATAGCCGAATCTATTTGAACCGAATAATAAGTCTCGATCTAGCGAAAAATCTATGTGATGAGTTCAACAGTCACAAATGAAAACATTTTGAATGAAAAATGACTTATCACCTTGAAAAAGTGGACGAAAACAAAAGAATTCAACTCTATTATGTCTTCAAGATGAAATTTGGTGTAAAAGTAATTGAAATCATTCTTGTTAAATCATTTTGTGTTTATTTTGATTGTATGTGCGAAACAGCAATTATCTCACTAAATGGATGTCATTGTTGTGACGAAATATCATATAAATGAGTTAACAATGAATTCTGTGGTATTGCAAGCTACAAAAGTGTTTCTCGCACGTCAAAAATCGACGAAAACAGAAAAACGAGACAATAAAACTGTTCGGATGAAAATATGAATTTGTCGAAAAATAAATCAACGAGTCAGAGATATTTGGTTGTTTGAGATTTATGTTAGTAACACAACTCACTACTCACATTAGTAATGCAAATTAAAATGCCAAACACTCCGTCACACTTAACGTTCCGACAAAGACGACCGATTTGAAATTATTCCAAAAGTATTCTGTTTACGATTTTTAACAAAAAAAAAATTCTGACATTCATGCGTAATGAAGTCATAATACAGTACAAGAATTCATGTAATTTTCCTGCCAACTCATTTGAAGACGACCATGATGTAGATTTATGTATTTGGGCAGCACTTACAATTGATTTAAACTTAGTTTCGAGCACTTTGACTCCGCACTTAATTAGTTTGAAAAACTCTCTCAAATTAAAACTCGACAGCAAGCGATTTATGTATGTAATTCAATCAGAATATCGTAGGAAAGAATTTTCACCCGTACGATTGAATGTGACAAGTGCTTGCTAAGTTACTTGTATAAGAATAAAACAACATTCTATTGACACATATAAAGAGCGAAGACGAAAGTAAGACTGCATTTAACCGTATTTAATTCACATATACACAGCTACTACCTCTTAATTGACACTAAGATAAAAATAACGGCATCGAACAAAGACAAAGAAAATAGAATGATTATAAGATTTTGAAACACAATCGTACGATTCATCCGTTCGTTCTTACAGATTTCTGAATTAAGTTCTATTTATAACAAAATTGCATGTGCCCGAGGCCTTGGCATTGTTTGAAATTCATCACTTACCAGAGGTATCAATAATGAGTTTGAAAGACGGAGATCGAGAAAGAGAGACAACAATTTGATTGGCATATATAAAATGCGGCAGAGCGGTCATGTTATTTTGCTTTCAATATCACAATCGCATATGTATGGAATACCGACCAAATTATAGAGAATTTAAATCGAAAGTATTCGATTCATGTAATTCATTGAATGCATTATGATTTCGATGAAAAATAGAATAGATTTTGTTTGTAATTGCATAGCAATGGACATTCAAAAATTTACGGGAAACTCTTTTGTAAAATTGTCATTCTGTAGAAGTGTATGCTAGTCCGCATCAGACATATGGACGTTAAGTATATATACGTTTTCAACTTTGTATGAAACAAACTGTGCGTATGAATATGTCAACTGATTGTATTTTATTTTGGAAAATTCAAAATGTGTTATCACGTTTAATTCCTTAAGTTAAACATTTTTTGGAATCCAATTTAAATGACTAATACAGTCATTTCATTATCCAACTGCATTGTTGATAATGAATGATTCATCAAGTGGCAATTGTTTATTCAAGTATTTTCAATTTATTTCGAGGTACAAAAACAAATTGGGCCCTCATTCATATCAATAGCACCCATATCAAATAAAAAAGCTTGGATTATGAGCATAATGCGCTTGTATTCTCCTTTTTGTTGTTACTTCCACGAATACAAATCTATTGTATGCATATTTATACAATTTACTCTACTCTAATGCATTTACTCGTCTTGTTGACAATCAAATGCGACAGTTTTTTTTTCTGCTCACTCATTCAGTTGAGTTAAAATTGATGACGTCGGAATGCAGTAATATTGTAGCAGCAGCCGTAGCAGTTGGGCAAACTAAAATATGACAACAAGTTCAAAGTCGACATAAGCAGTTCTACACTTTCCCTGTTTAACGGCGCTTTAATAAGTTCAATGTATGAGTATATCATTGTAAAAACATAATGGAAATAAGGAAATGCGAGAATGTCAACTTATTTCATTTCATGAATTTCACTTTCAACATGGATGACGAATTTTCATTTTCGTCTGCTTGCTATCGGCTTGTTCGGCATACATTCGTTGGTGATTTGAAAAGACTAAATAGTATTGATTATAAAAATAGATTTCTTCTATACTGACCCTTGGCAACCGACTTTCAATTGAATCGGATATTTCACATAAATGAAGTTGCTTCGCACGTTTCGCGGCTATGCTGCCGTGAAGTGCTGCCGAAATGGCATTTATATATATATAAAATATTTTTTATATAAATAAAGCGGTAAAAAAAAAAGAGTGGCGCTATTTTGCGTCAAAATTTTATTGCATTTCATCTGTTCCGGTCGATTTGCTGTAATTGATTAGCAGCAACATTTGAGTCGAATGCCCAGGTTTCTTACATATTATTTTCGTAGTAAAAAAATAATTGGATTCGAAGGCATTATGCCAAGAAAAGCATTTCTCTGGCGATATACAATCAAGATGTGTTCGGTTGAGGGAGTCATATACAACTGTTTTCTGTGAAAATTTCTCACTTTATAATCTCAAGGATTTGTTGAATAATTCAAAAAACCGCGAAGCAGAGGTCGTATGCATGTCAGAAAGAAGAAAATCCGCAAATCGATCGATGAAAGCAAATATATATATAATTTTGTATATATACGGAAGGAAATATTTTTAATAGATTGGCTCATGCAATGTACGTCGTATAGAAACCTGCCGAATTCTACAAATAACACAACACATTAGTGTTAATCAAGGGGATATTCAAAATAGAAAAACTAGTGAAACTAGCAGCAACTAGCACAGTACACACAAATGACAACTAACCTCAATATGAACAAAAATTGACATAAAACTCAATTTATCCGAAGTCTCAACCGTTTTGGGATAAATTTTAGTATGCATTTTTTCCGCTCAAATGCCAAAGTGATATATGTAATGCACTTAAATATTTGAGCGGAAAAAATCTGAACTAAAATTTCTCCCAAAAACGGTTGAGACTTCGGATAAATTGAGTTTTATGTCAATTTTTGTTCATATTGAGGTTAGTTGTGATTTGTGTGTACGATTAATGTTTCTAGTGCGTGAAGCTGGTTCTCAGTAAAAAAATTATACACATTGTATATGAAAGGCTAACTTCACGCACCATAAAAACTAGAATTTTTTTTAAACTAAAAATTGCATGAATATCCCCCTGGTGTTAATAGAAGAAGACTTATTGCATTAAAACCGAATCGAAAATATCAATGACAGAAGAAACATTTCGGTAAAGAAAAAACACAAAGAAAAAACGAACTAAGGATATTACAGAGAGCCTTAAACCGATTGTGTTGGCTGAATCTTGTGCATGTGTGGCACAAATTAACAAGAAAACGAACGAACCAGTGGCGACATGGTGACTTTGGTCGCATACACGTACACTGGATATTCGTCAACGGCCATGTGTTGAGAATAATAAAAGCATACAAAAATTATGGGCTCGGTTGTAAATAAGAAGAATTCGACGCGTTTTATTTGGGTCGAAGTTTGTGGCTTCGTTTCCACCCTTTTTGGACATGCTTATGATATTTAGTTTCCTGTTGATAAATGGTCGTACATATACATGTCACCATAAAAAAAATCGAATTTGTTGCTGGGTACAATTTTTCAGAATGTGTATTATCATCACTAACTCACTCACTCACTTAAACACGCTCGCATATCAATAAAATCTCACTTTTTTTGCATCTTTCTATTTTCAACTTGAATCGAATACTTGCGGTTTCTGTGCTTTCCGTACTAATTGTTTACGTTCGATGGAATTTGAATGAAAAGACAGCAAAATAACTGGCTGCTGATCACTAGGTTTTTACAAACGAGTTGTTGTTTTTTATAAATTGTAATTGAAAAACGATAGCGTAAATGGCAAACAAAAACAAGAAGCTGTATAGCAATGGGTGTGATTTTATATATATTGTATATATACATATCATATGCAATATGTATATCTCTTTTTATATCGCTTCGCAAAAACACTGCCAAAACTAACATAATGTGTGTGTGAATTTGCTACGATAACTTATAGCTGATGCTGAAACAATCTACAAGTCTGTGTTGTGTGTGTCTGTGTGTTTGTATGATAAAAATGAATGCACTTGATTTGTTCGCAGTCAACAGCAAAGTTTTTCTTGGAATTACGGTCTGATTCACTCACACACATACACACGCGCACGCCATATCATCTCTTGGACTGATTTTACTTCGGCGAATATTTTTTCATGGACCCATTTAGCTAAATTATGGTAAAATGTCAATCAAGATAATGGAAATTCAGGTTATCAAAAAAATCACATTCGATTTGGTATTTGATAAGAATTCAGCGTATATCTGATTTTTGAAGTGGATTCAATTGTTCTTTTGTGTTCTTTTTTTATATCGTGTATTTTTATGCAATGTGTTAGTTACTACATTGCGATTGTTGTATGTTTGATCGTAGCACTCTCGTATACATTCTCATATGCACACAATATTATATCGCATCGAAAGTTGTTGTTTTCCATTGTCTGTGAGGCGCGAAACAAGCGAGTAAAAACATATAGTAGCGATTGTAATCGAAAAAAAAAAATTCGATTGTTCTATACACCTTTTTTGGTGTATATATAAATGCGATATGCGACGTACTATCCATCTAGAAACACCTCAAACACTCACACATAACATTCAATTTCAATTCATCGTAATACCAAACAAAACCGATAAAAAAAAGAAATGCCCAAATTTAATACGATATTTCCATTGAACAATAACAAACGAAACGAACCAACAAAACAAAATCGTACTTATTCGAGTGACCTACGGAGCATTTCACACTCATTCATTAGTAACCGAAAATTTATTCTATTAATGAATTGCCTTATTCTTCGTATTTTTTTCTGAATTTCATTTCAATTTTTTTTTATTCATGTTTGATTGACGGAACACGAAACGTTGTATCTTTGAATGACAACACCCTTGTCTTTCAATAACGCCACAAAAAAATGGTTTGAACATTTTATCCACATACAAAAACCACACACAAATTCACATTCCAATTAATTGATTTTTCATTTCAAACACGGGAAAAGATTTTCGCGTAGTATTTTCTTTTCTTGGCCTGCGTAATTTTTTTACGCATTTTCAATGCAATAACACTCACTCATATACACTGTGCAACTTTCTCACAACGCAATCTATTTAATTACCGGTTTAGTATTCGCTGAATTTGTAATTCCTTTGATAAACACAGAAGCCCCAATTCAAATATTGTATTTGGTTTCTTTTCGTTCACACTGTCGGTAGTGATTCAAGCACAAATGGTTTTTTTCCGAAATGTGAAAAACTTTTTTTTTTCTTTAAATTTTGTTTCTATCTATTGACTGCTTGCTGCGCTCTCGAGAATATTATGGCTTGCAGTTGGAAAACACGACCATTCCCGACTGAGTAAAATCGTTTGGTTGAATCAATGTTTTAGCCGTATATATGTTTGAATGAACGACTCTATGTGAAATCGATGAATTTTTTTATATATAACTTCGGTACTCCTTTTTCTCTTTCTGTCATTCATAGCAGTTGTACTGTTGCTACAGCTCATGTGTGAAACTGGGTGCGATATGTGTGTGTGTTTGCAAATGAACAAAATGCAAAACATTTCTTTCCCGCTCTAACTACTATAAGGGATCGCTTTTTGCCGAATAGATTGCGGTGAGTGTGAAAGAGACGAGTAGAAAACCGCGTGAATACTAGATATTCATGTGTTTGTGAGGCCTGTTTGGGATGACGCGTTATGGTTTGTTTACAGTATACGATATCGGGCATAGGCTTTTTTTGCATGAAATCAAATGTGACAGCTATTCATATTGATGAACATTTTTGGAGGGAGTTTCTCCTTTCGAATGAGATGTCAACAAAAAGTTGTTTTCATTTTGGTTTTTATCTATTAAAATTGGTGGAAATAATTCAATATAGTTTATGAGAGTTGATTATAAGTTTTTATTTTGCTTTTTCCATCAACCGAGAATTCAAAAGTGATGTGTGATAAGAAACTGACAACCTTCAGTAGATTCATTGTGAATAGACCTGTTAACTTAAAAGCAAGCCCGGTGGCGCCATCTGTTAACCAAAAGTCGATTTTTCGTTAAAAATTGTTTCCTCTGTTCCTGTTATATGGGTTGCAAGTCACATGCGAGTAAAACTAACAGACAAATGAAACGAATTTTTTTTTTCATTTTTTATATTTATATTTTTGCTTTTTTATCTATTTTATTTTCATTTACATTTATATAGATTTTCATTTTGCTTTGTTTTTTTTCTTTCTTTGTTCTCTTTGTGTTGGATGTTTTGAATCCCTTGTTTTATAGACTGTATTAGTTTAAATTCAAATATTCAATATTTTATTCGCTTCATTTTCCACATATGTTTCGCTTCATATATGATTTTAAATCCTCATATGTTTCATTTCTATTTTATTTCATAGTTTTTTTTTTGTTATTAACCGTATACTTACCGCCAAAATCATAAATTGGCCGCCGTTTTTGTTTGCACATTTAAAAACATCGAATTTTAGATTATTTGATACGTTATTGAAAAAATGGTTTTGGTTTCTTTTGAGAGTTGATTTGTTGTATGTAAGGGTTTCAGAGTGGAGTCTCCATTATTATACCAAATAAAGGTTAACTTGACATGAACATATTTATGATTCAGTTGGAATATGCCTATTGATAAATAGAAAACTTTTCTTATTGAGTTCAATGCTTGCGACCGCAGGCAGTTCAACTTATTTTACCGCCCAATTCGACAGTCAAGTCATTTCGTTTCATTTGTCAATGGAGATCCCCCACTCTCGAAGTTATTCAAACAAATTAATCACATTGATCGTAAACATATGAACAATACCTATAGCGAACTCAAGATGCAGAACCATGAGTGGAACAAGATAGTGTGTCTATCTAAATGTTAGCTCTTTTACTTTCACATCATCTAATCTAGTTATAATTTAATATACAAATATATTACTGATTTCATTTGTTTTTATTCTTACGAACGGACCTGTTCTTGCTCATTTTTTTTCTATTCAGTTTAATGAGATTCTCTTCTATCTATAATCATGCCAACGATATCTCGCATCTAATACTTCTTATTTTTCTTAGATAGCTTCTTCATCGAAATTGGTTTTGAATCATTGAATATGTATATTTTCCTGTATGTGGTTGATTCGGTTGTGTGTGTGTGTGTGTGTGCTGTGTGAGTGTCATGATATAAGAGATGAGATTTCTCATTTCATGTTTTTCTTTTCAGGGCGATTGAGTTTTTGACGAAAAAAAAGGGTAATTGTTTACTCATTTGCTTATGGTGATGATGATGATGTATTAGATGCTACTATGATGAGAATTTGCTTCATTCACAAAGAGAAAGAAAGAAAGATAGAGAGAGAGGAGAGAGAGAGAATGTGTGTGAAAATGCGATGTAACGAAGTTTTGTCAGCTAAAAGGGTTGTTGTGTATGCTGAAATCAATGCGCAAATGCGTTTATTTTTACCGCCTAATAAAATTAATCAATACTGACCTAAAAAAGAAATTATCCAAATGCGATTTCCCGAGTTAACAACAAGAGAAAAGAGAGTGAGTAAGTGGCTTCGTGTAAAAATTAGAATATATGTAAAATTGATATTCGTTTAATTTGATGTAACTGGCTCTCTCAATCGTTCTATGTTTTCTTTTTTTTAAGTGAACGAAGCGGAAAGAGATTATCGGGGGGCCCAATTCCACCATAATGTTATGCATATATGCGAAGACTTTGATTTCTTTCTCTTATTTTAGTTGTGCTATAACGTGTTGTTGCCCATTATACTGATAATAAAATAAAACAACGATAAAATGCGATAAAAAAACAACAAATCTGGATGCATAAAATCACTTTCAAAAGAATGATGATAATTGATGTCGATTATTTTTTTTATGCTATGATCATTTTAAATTTAGTAAAACATAAAATGCTTTATCTCTGATTCCATCGGGAGAATCCTTTTTTTTTGCGAACGATGAACCGTCGTCGAGTTCAAACTCATTCATAAAACTCGTTTAAAACGTATAAAATTTAGATTATGACTGTATTATGTAAAGTGTAGCCCGCACCGCACACACAACGATTGAAACCCTGTAAAATTGACTGCCTGATAAAAAAAATACAAAACACAAAAATCTGGAAATTCGTATAAATTCTCATTCATTTCCCCAGATTTATTAATAAAATGAAAATGAAAATGTATATGTAGTATTATCTGTGAATTCAAGTTCATTTTATATTCGATTTTGTGTATTCAACGTTCATTATCGCATTTATGATTGAATAATTTTTCGAGAAAACTTTGAATGCTTTGCATTTTATTTGCAAACTCTTCTATAGCCCGTGGGGCCATTCTTCTGGTCTAGAGAGAGATAGACGCACAGAAAAAAACACAAACTTTTCCATGTGCATGTTTGCTGTGTAATAAATTTTAATTTGAATTTTTGGCAGAAAAAAAAGAATGAGAGATTTTAATGTCGATATATAAACTACACTTTGAATCCCTCCCCCTTATAAAAAGTAAAAGTGAATTTTCGTGTTTTGTATGTGAATTGCTTTTGATTCTTCGTATTTCATCTTCCGATGAACATGATTTCCGTCTTAAAATATTCAAAAAATTTCAAAACTTTATTCATTGCACTTTATCTTTCACAATATACGGGCACAAAGACGATTCACTGTCATTTGCCAACATGCCAACTTTGTTCGTATCTTTCTATCTCTTTGTATTTGAATACGTCATAAGAAGTACATTTACGTTTTTTTTTAATAATATCTATCTTAGAGTTATTAAAGGATTTTCAAGTAAAACTTAAACAGTGGCGTATTTCTCACAGAAGTTTTGGTTTTTTTCTCTTTAAATTCAAACGAATTCTATATCCACTATCACAAAATAATAAGAGTAAAGAAATGAATCAAGGAGTCAACAATCATCATATATTACGTATTTGTTCATCAAAAACAGTTTTCTAGTATTCATTTTAAAGAATGCATTTTTTACATGTTATAGTAATTTTATCCATAAATTCTTCATTTTCCAGCTCTGATTGCTTGAACATAAATGCATCGCGTACACACGTTTCTCTGTGTGTGAAATGTGATGTTGCCGCAAAAATGCTCAAATATTTTTTGTAATTTTCATACATTAATGAGATTTTGTGTTTATTTTACATAAATTTTTAATGCTTTCTCTTACAATGCTTACACATATTCATTTTTAATTTAAATAATGTATTTCGTAAAATAATATCATATTTTTTGTCGAAAGTATTTATACGTTGGAAGTTGGAGTTTGGTTGATTGGATTGTGGGAAAAAGAGGACGTTTATTGATGCGCGCAGTTTGTGATGTGTGCTCATCAATCAATAGACAACTTTGGAGGTATTTCATTTATTTTGATTTAAATTAATTAATTTTTTTGTGTGTATGTTAATCTTTTTTTTGTTCTTTCTAGTTTTCGTTTTTGTTTCAGTGTATGTTTGCTAAACCTGTATGCTGGATCCATTTGATATAGTTAGTTTGTATATAGTTCATATGTTTGTAAATATGTTTTTGGTTGTATTTCAGCCCTCCGCCCCCTCCCCCATACACACACATGCAATAAATATATGGTATATGTACAATTTGTAAATCGTGTGGGTTGGCTTCGAAAACTTGAATCTACGTAGTTATAGAGTATACAATCGGGGGCGAAATTACTTTTACTCTTTTTCTTCTTATTTTCACTTCACATTTGGAGCATGTTGAATGGAAATGTGGGTTTTTTACTATCTCTATCTCTGGAAGCCAATAAAACTTTCAAAAGTAATTACTCAGAAAAGGGTCCTGTCCCGTCTCCCCATCTAAGCCAAGTCAAGGTAAAACGGTGATAAAACTATCGAGCATAGCGTTTTTGCGGTTTTGTGCGAATTTTCTCGCTATACATATTCATGAATTGTACAGAGTTCATTTTATCGATTGGGTGTGAAGCTGTTAGCCAGAGAGTGCTAAAAGTGTTCAAAGTGAGAAGTGATTTTTTTCCATCACGGCAAATCAATCAAATGTCATGAGCAAAAAGTAGTTCTTTCTTTTTTCACATGCCGAAAAGCTAGTTTGCATTTTATACGAAGTGAAAGGTACCTTATTGAGCATAATTTACTGCACTTATCGACATCGCACTAATCAAATTTCAGTTGTATGCCCAGAGAAGTGATGCCGTAGTTCGATTGTTTGAAATAAGTGAAACAGAGAGAACACGTCCTGTGTGAACACCACTAAAGTGTGCGGTTTACTTGACTTTCCAATAAGTATATTTTCAATTTGTACAATTTCTCACTCACAGACATATATACTCTTGAGATTGATTCAACACTAATTTCACTTCTAAATTCATTCAACAGCCACTCGACTCTTGTATTGCACACTTCACAGTATTTATACACACTTACTAACTTAACAGATACGCTGAAAAACAATAAATCCATTACATTTTACCTATACACAATTATCGAATTCATATTATTTAATTAGATGAAGAAAAGAACTATATGATAACAAACACACGATTGGCCGTGAATTTAAAAACAACATTGGATTTCGATTTTCTTCTGAAAAGTGCAGTTTTTCATGAATATTCGACATCTATCTGGAGAATATAAAGATGATTTTATAACATGGAATGCGTGTGTGTGAGAGATTAATTTCCTAATAGAGAATAAAACTATTGTGTGCCATATCTGATTGGAGAGTAAACTGACTGTATCCAGTTTTATATTCAAATAAGAGTAACAGTGTATGTAGATGTGTGATAGTGTGAATGGGGTGGAATTTGATGCATTTCCGAATTATATACGCTAAATATTTAGTTTGTCACATATCAAACAAATATACACTAAAGAAATATCCCTAACAATAATACACTGTTTTTTTCATTCATAATTTATTCTTTCTTTTGTTGTTCAAGAATATTTCGCGAAAATATTTCTATAACCATCGATTTGTTTGGTTGTCTGTATTCTGTTCAGATAATTTTCTTATTTTCATTCGATTAACCTAAACAAATAAATTCAGTTTCATTTCACATTCCAATGTTTATGGATGTGGTAATTTACAGATTTACGCACATCAAAACACAATCTATAAAAACATGTTCCATTTAATGGGTTTGGTGCCTCATGTTTGTGTGCTTTGCATTGTTAAACGTTTATAAATTGTGTTCATGTGCCCATTTATAAATGTTATTCATTTTGGTTTACCCTAATTTATCCATTATGGTCGTTGTGCGGTCAAATCGCAGACACTTGTTCAATATCAGCCGATGATCTTGAATGGATGACATTTTTTGCTGCGTAATCGGTAACATAACGATCACTGTTGCGTGGATGCACATTGCCCAAATCTTGAGCGCAACACCATGAATTTTTCGTCGTTAAAATTCGTTTGAATGCTTCACGAAATTCCGTATTAAAAATGGAATAAATGATTGGATTGAATGCTGAGTTTGAATAACCTAGCCAACTTAGAATTTTAAATGTTTGGCCACCAATGCATGTTTTACAGAATGCGGCAACAATATTTACACAGAAGAATGGTACCCAACAGATGAGAAAAACGCCCATTATTACGCCGACCGTGATGGCTGCCTTGTGATCTGATACGTGATATGGTGATGAATGATGTAAATGTCGTACTTTAAATTTCTTTTTCGGTTTTCGACGAATACTTCGATATCGATTTGGTTGCTTTTCAACGACTTCGCCACTGACGCCTGGCCGCGTTACAGCCCGTATCGATTTCACATGTTTCTGGGCATAGCAATACAATCTGTGTAATACAAAGCAGTAGCAGCAGCAACAACAGCAACAGCCACAGCAAAAGGATCAGACATTTACGCAAATGACATGTAATAAGCGCGAGACATGGGGGTGAGAGAACAAAAAAAATAGCATAGCATGAAAAGTGAGAAAAATTGCAAATACTACAGAGAACGAAAGAAAAAAAAATCGCGATTTACGCCATAATCACAATAAAACATTGTTTCGACCGACTCTTTTTTTTGTTCGTACATTTTGCGACATGCACACATCCAACTTAATAAAAGTGAAATGCGTTCGTTCGTATACTTCATCAAGAACAATAGGCATTCGGAGTTGTTTTTTTTTTTTGTTGACGTGTGATTTTTTTTTTCGTCAAGCGTTGATCGAGACGTAATGATAATATATGATGAAAATCAGATTTGATGGTTGAACTTTTTTTTTCTGTATTCATGTGTATGTGATATTGTTACTCGAAACGCAAGAAAATGAACGACATGTAATATATTTTATCACATGCATGCTTTATGCGTTCATCGGCTTAGCTCGAAAAACTAATGCTTGATAAGCCAGACAGGCATGAGATAAGTAGAAACCGGCGTCGCCTCAAACAATTTTCTTTGCTTTCATCAGATTCATCAACGTTGGGGGATTTAATCGGGAGGTCGTTTTGTATATATATATACTTTGTGACTAATTAAATCAGCTGCACGAAATTTACCTTAAACCATTTTCATTTCTGTTTCTTCTCTTCGCATTTTGATTTGATCAACAGAAAATTGGATTACCAGCCGTTTGGCCAAAATGAGGTAACAGTATAGTTTCGATACAGGTTTTTCCTTGTGATTTCGGATTTCTGCAAATTAGCACATTTTTGTCTCCGTATATTCACTCTTTTTTTGCGTGTCACAGTCGACGGCTATTATCTAGGATGATTTTAAGCCATTTTCTCTTTGTGCACTTGATTGGATCGCACATTATCATTTAACGTCGTAGGTCGTAGTCGTTGTTCTAACAAAGTGGCTTGCATATAACGAGTAACAAGAGAACGGTAAGATTAGAAAAGGAATTGGGAGTTTTTTCGGAGTGATAAACATTCTCTTTTGTGGCTCCGTCTCACCAGATTCGTTAATAATAAATGCGAAATAACAAAAGAATGCGTGACAGTGTTGAGTTCAATTAACGCTTACATATGTATAAATTATTGTTAACATGATACATATATGTAAGTGGTTTAAATTTGTCGTTTCATTCTCTGATACGGATCACGCATTAGCCTCCAGTTCTAATTCCTTGAATTTTCCATGCCAAATCGGGTGAGAGAGAGAATATATATCAGTGTCACTGTGTTATCCGTCGGCACATCTAGGATTTATTGTTGTACATAGTAACAAACTTGATGATTCAAAAGTATGTGCTCGTGTATCATATTTGTTCAAATAATTTGATCGTTTGTTCCCAAACACATCGAGTGTTTTTTTATTTCAATTGGTATATTACATTTCTTGAAAATGGAAGTGATGCTAACACTAGCTTTTGCCACATATTGGCACATTGGTTTTACCAAAAGACCGAAATGTTAACTATTTATACTCATGAATCCTTGATGATTAATTGATATTTACACTATCTGTATGTGTGTATATCTGTTTTGAATGATGGCCTTCATTTCGGAAGGGAGAATCCAACCGATGATTGCTCAATGACGCACAACGGCTACGATAATATGTCGAACAAATTTTGGATTGAAGCGACACCTTCACGTAACACAAACACTGTAAACATAACTATTAATATGTATGAAATAGTTGACGTTCGATACATTCGCATTTCAACGATGAGATGGCGTTAAACGTGATGAAATTTTTGTTATTTTATTATTGGTAGATTTGATGTTTATTATTTATTCGACGCATCAGACGAAACAGATGTGATTATCGAAACCGCAATGGAAAATGGTTAAACGTAAGCCATACACAAATCGTAGTTGGTATTTTTTTAAAGAAATGTAACAAAAAAAGGTTTTCGCCACACTGTGTAACATGTTGCGCAGCACCCAATTCCATGAAATATGCATCATCGGCAAAAGGAATATTTGGGTCGCGTTAAAAGTGAGACACAAAAAAAGGCGAAAATTCAATCGATTTGCCAACCAAAATCGGTCGATCGAGTCCGCGCGTTCACATAACGTGCACCGACACTGAATGCTAATAATGAAAATTGCTTAAAGATTTCCCATTGATACGCTTATCACGAGATAATCGTTTATATTGAGCATCAAATACGTGTTCCGGCGATTTTATCGCATTTTCGAAAGACATGAATCTTTTGTTGTATAACAGCACATAATACATGTACCACCACCTACCGCGACGAATGATGATGAAAATTAGATGGAACGCTTTTTTGAGATGAGACGGCGACCGACCATTTCTTCAAAACCAATTTGCATTTAACCAAATATTATTTGGAGTGTGGAGCGCGAGAAAGAGACAGAGCTGAATTTCTCTCACGAAAATTCGATGCTTAAAATAAATTGGAAATGCTTAAGTTTAATAATTTACATTATGTTAGCAATCTCACGTTTTCGTTTCGAAACGAAGATTTCCCCATTGTTTTTTTGCTTCTCTTTTTTGCTTTACATAAATTGCAAAAACTGATTTCATTTGCTGGGTTTTTTCTTTATGTGTATTTTGTTTGGAGGTAAAAAATCTTTGAGTCAGTCGATTCGATCTAATATATTGTGTGAAAATGGTGAAATGATAATGACTACAAACGAAGCGAAAAAACACACAGAGATAGAATGGATGTTATTTACCTGCAGTAGATGCCAATCATAACGATGCATGGCACGTAGAAGCTAATACAACTTGACACAACAGCGTACATCGGTGTTAAATCTAAAGCACATGTGGGATACTTGCGACCGTTGTCTTCATACACTAACGGTAAGTCGGGCCTGTGCAAACCAAATGAGATCGGTACGAATGATACTAGTGCAGCTAATAACCAAATTGTCACAATTGATAAAACAGCTATGCGTCGCGTGACCCATCTCCCATACCTGAAACGAAAAACACAGAAAAAAATTTATAAATAAAAGCATTTACACCACATCAGATAGATTTCATTTTTTTTGTTTTCGTTGTTGCTGTTTATTTTGTTCGATTTACGTTTTTCTTTCATTTTGTCGTCATAGAAAATTGACGACAAGAATAATATGTAAAAAAAGCGTTAGATACAACACAGAAGCTTCCAGGCTCAATTTTAAGGCATGAGACAGTAAACATAAAACGATGGAGAAGGGAGTGCGACGAAAACCAAGAGCAAAGACTGTGCATTGACGTTGTCTGTTTGAAAAGAAGATTATTGGCAATAGCTTGGGAGCATAAAGCTTATTTACAAGAGATAAATAAACAAATGAACGCATCTTTCATATCTCGTTATATGTGTGTATACAGGCTTTCTCTCTCTCTCTCTCTGCGAAAACTTTTTATCAGGCTTTGTGCAAACATGCATATACATATTCTTTAAAGAAAAAGCTCATTCATTCAAAGACTTTCAAGTATGAATTCGTCACTTAAAATATTTTTGCATATTTGAAACGTTTCACTCTCCATTTCACGCGATTCATCTCCCTCTTTCTCCCCCCTCTCTCTCTTCTCTACATGTCTAAATCTCTCAATTTGCCTGCTCGTCTACCAAATTATATTTCTCCATACCCATTTTCCCCATAGATTCTTTCATGTTCATTTTGTCTTCGAAAAACACTGACAAATTTCTTCAAGAGCACACATTTTATATATGCCAAACAATATGATGTCACATTAAGCTCACAATACAAAACAAACAGAATATTCAAATGTGTTGTGTCTTTTGAATGATGTGTGCATGTATTTGTTTTCGTTATAAAACCGCGTTGTACGTTCACGGTTCACATTCGTTAACAATGCTGGCGCATATAAATTGAATCAAACATTCATGAATTTTGAAGGGAAAAAGAATAATACAAAAAAATCGAGTGTTTTTCTCGCTCCTGAAAAAGTTTTTAATTAAATCTTCTTAGCTTGTTGTAAAGTACACGCACGCATCGTTGTTGTGCCATATGAATGTGGAACTGCTATAAAGCCGAAAAGTGAATTCCATTTCCGACCCAATTCCCAAAATGGAAAATAATAAAATAAAATTGCGAAAGAGAGAGAGAGAGAGAGAGAGAGAGAGAGAGAGAGAGAGAGAGAGA